TACAGTCATACCTCGGGATGAATACGCTTCAGGTTGAACGCTTTCGGGTTGTGCTCCATGGCGACCTGGAAGTAACGGAGTGTGTTACTTCCAGGTTTTGCCACTCGCACATGTGCAAAGGTCAAAATGACGTCACACACATGCGTGGAAGCAGCAAAACGCAACCCACGCACGCACAGACGCGCTGTCGTGTCTTACGTTCTGTTCAGGATGCGAACGGGGCTCCAGAACGGATCCCGTTCACATCCCAAGGTACCACTGTATTAGCCTTGTAATAAATATACAAGTGCTATTAACTTATACAGACTTCCACTCAAGCCAGATTTAGGGAAATTGGCCCAAGGTGTTCTGTTTTGAGCAATTGTCTCAGTAATATAGATGCAAGGCTGGTACCCTGGACAGCTCCCCGTAGGTTCAGGCTGGATACACCTTAAGAGGAGAGCTCTAATATTGCTTCAGCAACAGTCATCCTTAGACTGAGCCTAGCTCCAACATTCATAAGAGGAGCCTCCTTGTTTAAAAAGACCCCAGCCTACTTTAGCAGTTGTTGCCGCCAACGAAAGCAGGGGAGACTGGGGTTCCAACAGGGATTCTGAGCGATGCAATATACTTGAAGCAGAGAGATACTGGCATAACAGGCTGTCTTGCACAAATGCTTCTTGCTGCTAATCTGGAACTTGCCCCAAGGGCAATTGAACTCTTAATCCCCTAACTCATCCCCTGTAGTAGAGGAGCCATAGCAGGGCCGCCATTGGGGGTGTCTGTTATCAACCTTTTATTCAGCTATTGGTTCAGCAGTCTTTCTCTTTCCAGATTCAGGAGATTTTCTTTCTACCCATTTTCAAGTACAGGGTTTTCTAATTATTGGGGGGTTGTATATTGGGGGACAGTAATAAGTATGCTAAGGAAAGCCTCTGATCTTTGGAGAACTCAGTCTGATGTGTTTGTTGTAAAAAGTCATGGAAACATAATCCGTATCTTCATGAACATTATCATCTGTCTTTCATAAGTGCAGGTAGATATAAATCATAAAACTGCTTTAATATCACAAAAGCATTTCAAATCTCTATTTCCAGGCTCCGATAATTTTTGTAAAACTCGGGCAAGGTTTATCATATTTGTGGACAGAAGCGGGGGGGACACAGACAGACAAAATATAACTCCATTAGCTTTCATGGCAAACATTATGTACAAGCAAATAGCATGTACATTATGGGAATTGTATGAACTAATTATGCCAGTTAGACTTTGCCTTTCAATATGTTTCCAATGAGGTACTTAAATATGGGATCATGTTCGTCAGCTCAGCAACACATCAAATCACCATTTTTAATAGTAGCTTCACTTATTTCAGATTATGTTCCAGTGATGCAACACTGTAACCATGAAGTATGAATGAGGCTCCGAGCATGCATAACAAGCTAATAAATTAATTCATAAAATAAATGACAATTGAAGGAAACCTGAGAGAGGTGAAAATGCATTCCCAGTTCTAATACTGTTTGTTGATTCAAACAATCATTTTACATTATAACTCCAATAAAAAATATATGTGCTTGTTTGGAGAAAATATGGTGTGCTAGAAGCACCCATTTTTATAATTTGACATTTGCTAACACTGGTAGTCAATAATAGATATAGATCCAGATTTCAGGGACCAAGCTGTTTTACTTTGCAAATTCATTTCTCATTCATTATTTTTAGTTTTGAATAAAATTGTGGTGAAAGTAAATAAAATATTCTTATCATCATTTTAAAATTTTGAATCCTGAAAATAGTTTGGTTCACTGGGCATAATCCACAGTCCAGATCTTCTGCCTTCCTGTGGTAGCTTTAAGGATGGGCGGCTTATCCACACACCCCACCACGCTGCCTCATAATGCTAAGGATCGGCCACGCAAAATGCTTAAGTGTCTCTGGGTTGCAACACACACAGCTTGTTGCAATTCATATACCGCAGCTTCGTAGCATGCTGTTGGGGAAGAAGCACGCTAACAGCTCTCACATATCAGTGCATTATGCTTTCATAGATAACTAAGCAGAAAATGTGACTCCTGAATCCATGTAAGATTTCCTGATCACATCAGACAGGTGGAGAGTTACAAAACCATTTCTGTTCGAGCCATTCAATTCCAACAACGGAGATGAAGTTTCAGGGTTATATTGTTGTTACAAGATAGATTCTCATCTATTTTCATGAACATAGCTCATTAGAAAGTCTCGATGCTCCCACTCGCCAAGGATAGCAATCTCAGTCAAAATGCATCTCAGAGACAAACTATACATAAGAGCAGCAAGCATTGCTCTCTGTTATGGGTGTCCTCAAGCCCTGTCTCAGCTTGGCGAAAGGTATCATGGAAGCTGCATAGCTGTCCGGCAAAATGCACTTCCTATGCTCAACAACAATAGGCAGAGGGAGGCAGCAACCTGAAGTGGTAGATGCTGCAAGGGCACATTCCCCACTGAGCCATGCTCAGCCCAAGTCTATGTGCCAGTACTGGTGATGCTTGTTGCTTTCACACTTACTTGCCTCCTCCCATTGTGCCAAAGCATCCAACCTGGTTGTCACAAGTTATTTATTTTATTCCATTTCAGGTATCTGAGTTCTATGGGATGTACTCACAGTGTTATAGGATTGCAGCCTCCAGTACTTGAGGGTTTATTATCTATTCCTCAGTAAAACGAGTAGAGAAGATTGTTAAAAGCAAATAAGAAACATCATCATTAAGACATCTAAGGAAAATAGACTCAAGAAATTAGAAGCACTGTCTTAACAGCAGGGAGAGTAGAGAAAAAAAATCACACCTGGAAGTGAAAAGCTGCTTAAAAAGAAGATCCATCCTCCTTATTTTGTTACTTTAATGTGTTATTGAATTATATGTTGGTTTGGGTTTTTTAATGTATGTTATTGATTTGTCAACGTCTCTCTTACATCATGGGTGCTGGCAAATTGGATTTTAAAAAGGCAAAATGATATTAGAATCGGAGTTGTCAGAGATGCACAATGGAAACTGTTTTAATGCTCAGGAGCTTGGCAAAGTCTTTTATATATATTATGGATTTTTATACAATGAATGTATGCTCTGTGTTATTTTATTAATACTATTGCCTAGTACAAGCTTGTTATGGCCTTTGGATAGAACAATAAACTTGTTGAACGGGTTGTTTTATGCCATGACAGCCATTTTGTGACTGGTTCCCACAGCACTTTCTCAGAACCAAAAAGGCTGACAACCCCTACCTTTGGGAAACATGTTTCAGAGCCCTGGTGTAGCCACTAAAAAGACCCTCTCGCATGTGTCCACATTCCATACTTCAGAAGATGGTGGGAATTATACAAACCTTCATTACTGTTTTCATTGACTTGTGTTTGGTGAACTGCAACTATTTTTGATGTTACAATTGTCACATTAATCAAAGGTGAGAAGAAACAGTTTGCAATTATTTAAACACAGCAGCACTTCACTGAAACATTTCTGGTTAAAAAATGTTTCTTAGCCGTTCTTACTTAGCATGTTAAGTTTAAAAATGTATACTATTTTAAAGAGGAAATGAAAAGCAATGGAAATCAAGCAGGTACTTTCTGTGCTTCGCTATGACAGCATCTGCACCTTGCCAGAAGGGAATATTGTTTCAGGAAATGGCTATGCAGTCATGTACATTTTGTATTTCCTTGGCCTGCTTCCAGTTAATATACTTTGGGAACAGCACACATCTAATTCAGAGGACAGCACAATCCGTTGCTCAGTGCCATCTCCCTGTGTAGGAGAAACCTGAACAAAACAAGCTAATCTGCAGAAGGATGTATCATATATTAAAAAACCCATCCTCTGGAGTAGACATTGCTGTACCTGAAATGCTGTGGGTAATTACTCTTGCATTTTGTTAGCATTATGCTGCTGATCAAAAGGCTCTTGTGTGAAAAATAGTGGCAGACAAATGAGTGAGGAAATGAAGGAAGGAAATTGGGGAAGGATAAAATATCACAGAGGAATCTGGAGAGAGGTACAGAAGGACTAACACAGTAATAGCATGAAGGTACCAAGAGTTACCTTTTCCTTTTTTAATTCAGTAGCAAAACAGTCTCTCAGGTGAGCAAACAAAGCCTGACTTTCTGTACTTTTCCCACAGGATTTTGATTAGATACTGGGCAACTTCTACGGCAGCTGGTCATAGTGCTCCGACTCTGGTGCAAGGCCACACTGCTTTCTCCTGGAAAAACCTGCAGGTTAGCACTGAATCGGAACAAATGGCAATTCAGCAAATTGCCGTTTATTCCAATATAGTGCTAGAGAGTGGGTTTTCTGGGCAAAAGTGGTGGGCAAAGGCAAAACCACTCAGACCCATGCTTTCTAGGCATGGGACAAATCTGCACATGTCTTATTGACTAGTAAGGGCAGAGTTAAGAACTTGCCATCAGACATTGCAAAGGGAAGTTCAACAAGGGGGAAACGCCTAGATTAAAAAATATATTGTTGTCATTATTATTCAAAAGGAATAATAATATTCCTGTAAGGACAGGATGCTAGACTAGATGGGGTACTGGTCTGATCTAGCAGGCAGGTGTTTTTTACATTTTAGCTTCCAGGGTGGGACCCAAGCCCTTTAAAAATTCAGTGAAAGCCTATACTTCTACCTTGGCCAGTGCAAGTGACAGAGATACAGGTGTGATGGTTGTTTCCACCATTTCATTCTATCTCTCTGCATCCTGGACAAAGTTGGCTTGTTCTAGCAGTGAAGGCTGGTCCACTGGGCCAAATGGGGCACTAATTCGCCAAACTCAGTTACCTCCCACCTCTATGCCTTCTTACTTACAACCAGTCCAGAGGGTGGTCCCGGCAGTCAGTTTCCTCCTCCTTCTTAGTCTTAGCATTGCCCCTGAAGAACTCAGGGAGGAGGAGGCGAGAGGGGGACAAAACTAGAATTAATTGACACTGTCTGTCATTGTTTCTGGCTCCATCTGCAGTTGGTCTTCCTGCCTTCTGACCCACCAGTTACCAACTGTCAGGTGTGCATGTAGGAGCCAGGCCCTGTGACCAATAGGACTTTGCAGGACTTCCTAAGTTTGTTCTGAAGAGGCAAGGCACGGCCTCACAGGTGAGGCTGATTGGTAACTCACAGCACCTGGTGGCAAGAGCTGGGAAGGGATATAAGGTCAGCATTTCCCTTCAGCTCTTTGCCACAGCAACATGTTCCCTGCCTTGCTGTGTTTGACTCCTTGCTTCTTGATCCTCGGACCCATGGCTTCGTGACTCCTTGCTTCCTGACCCTTGGACCCATGGCTTCTTGACTCCCAGCTCTCTGACCCTCGGACTCTTGGCTTTCTGACTCCTGGCTTCTGGATTCCCACCCCGCCATCTTGCCCTCGGTCCCGACGTCCCCAGCCGGGATTTCGATCACCCATGAACCAGACCATGGCACCAACCACTACTGAGATCCACCTATTTGTTTTATTTTCTAAAGCAAAAGTCTCTTTCTATCTTTCATGTTGGTTCAGGAAATAAAATATATAAAGGAGAATTCCTTGGTGCCAAGATCCAAGTTTGGGGCAAGTAAGAGAACCTCAGCAGAGATTTAAAATCACAAAACATGCTATGTGGAAATAAAGCATGGAAATATAGGCTGTAAAACATTAAAATGTGCCCTTTAAAGTGAGTTCAAAAGGTTTCTTTCCAAAGTTTCCCTCTTCCCCCAATGTAGGAAAATATCACACATTTGGTAAGTTGAAAAATGGTTTACTTACAAACTCTTCAAAGGTCAGGTTCATGCGCTTCAGAAAAGTTTCACAGGCGGAAAACCTGGGCTTTAGCTACGAAGTGGTCGAGTTCCTAATTCATTGGTATAGGAACTCAAGGGTGGCTTGTGAGAGCTATGCAGCTAAGCTGGAGCAACCAGCTCAAACCTCTTCTATAATTATAATTATTTCATTATTTATTGAATTTATATATCGCCCTATACCTGCTGGTCTTCAGAAGATGAGCTTCTCACATAATCTGGAGGAGAACAAAGGTTTGATTACCTGATTCCTCTCAAGGTGAAGGGAAGTGGACATAGATAAGCCTGGCAGGACAGCTTAGTATGTGGTATTAACCCCTTCATGCATTAATTAGACTTAAGAATGTTGGTTATATCAGGCTGGTTATCCTACATTTCACACATAAGGAGTTGCCTTTTGCCAAGTCTGTCCATCCATCCAGTTCAGTATTGTTTGTACTGACTGGCAGAGACTCTCTGCAGTTTCAAACAGAGGTCTTTCTTAGCTATACCTGGAGATGGCAGGGGTTGAAACTGGGATCTTTTTTTACGCAAAGCATGTGTTCTGCCACTGGGTTACAAGCACTCCAACAGCAGGAGAGCAACTCAAATGTGCTTTAAGTGGCATGTGTGAAATCAGTTTGCGTCAGTAAACAGTCAACAGTATTACTGTTGCTGGAATTAGCAATCCTGGGCAATGGTCCATAGTTTATTAACTTGTATTTGAATCAAGCTGATAATGAATGGTTCCTTTGCTTCCCGTACCCTTGGCAACAAAATGTTGTTGTCATGAGCTGGCAATAATCGAGGTTCACCTTTTCAACACTACTGCTGGTGAATGAAAAGCTATGACTTGAATTCTAAAGGCCATGACTGAATGAAGCTAACAACATATCTCTGCCTTTGAGAATGTACACTTCAAAGCTGCTTTCACTTTTGCACCAGTTATTCAAGCCTTGCCTTGTTAACTTCTCGCACACAATCACAAAGTAGACCTACAGATTTCAGTGACACGGCTCTCTAAAAAAGTAATTTAAAAACTAAAGATAGCTTTAAAAAAAAAATTCCTGTATATTTGAATACGTTACAAAACCATCCAATTTAATTAGTTAAAAAAACTCAAAACACTACATTTTGAATACAGGAAGCATCTGATGGAAACTGATATAAGATATGAATGAAAATTGCATCCCTGGTTATTGCAAATGAAAACGCTATTCAGTAGAAAAGTGATAGGAATGCAACAGCATCAATTTGACACTGGTTATGTTACATTTAATCTGGCTGGTAGAGGAAGAAATTTGATATTTTTTAAAGGGGAAAAATGTTCACAGCATTCTGATCTAGTCTGATCAGTTGTATTGATTTAGCAATTAGCTATCATTTACATTGCAGGTCTATTCAAGTTGGAAAATCACAGATTACCTTTTTATGATCATATCACAATTCTAGTTTTGATCAGCAAAGCTGATTCCAAACCTCTGAAGAGCACAAAGGTTGGCCCTATTACTGCTTATGCCATTCTCTTTCCAACCATTTTCAGCTGATTTCGATGTGCCTTACTTTAGACCTACTGATAGAAAACCAAAAAAATTCAGGATACCACATGTGATAAGACACAAATAAAAACAGAAAGGGTGGTTGAGAAAATTGAGAGGAAAAGCAACGTCCAAACAAGAAATAAGATATTTTATCTCCTTTATACCAGCATCATAAACAAAACTATTAACAGTCAGGAACTGTTTCAGATTTGGGGCGTCATGAGGAGAAGATTTTGAATCACCTCCAAGGCACCTTGCCCCTCACAGTTTTCAACTATCTCTGTGGCAGCCTGCAGCATATTTGCAGAGAAGTAAGTTCCAGCAGTTCTAGAAAGAGTCTTGGAGAATAAGCCAGCACAGAGTAAGTAAAATTAGCCAGCAATTGAGATGGCAGGCTTAGAAATGTGAAGAGGTATGTGTCAAGTCACTAGCAAACTGGGAGAGAGGCAGGCAGTCTCAGGAGCTGCTGCTGTCCAAGTCTGTGCCTCAGCCAGGTCTATTGTCAATGTGAAAGTTGAGACACTTTGAATAGATCCCTACCATTAGACAGTGAGGCGGCCTTCACAGGCATCAGATTAAGGTTTTACAACAAGGTGGCAAATTTTTATTTTATTTTTCTAGTTTTACTACTGCCAGGGAGAGGTAAAGCTACTTGTAGAGTTTCTGGCCTTGGCAGTCTTGGGTATTGTGGGCAGTATCCAGCTAAACAGTTCTGCTAGCACACAGCCTCCCCACCCTTACCTCTTGATTATGTTATATGGCTGCTGAGACCATATAACACCGGTCCTACATAGGCTCCCAGTACGTCCCTAAGCAGAATTCAAAGTATTGGTACTGACCTTTAAAGCCCTAAATGGCCTCGGCCCAGTATTCCTGAAGGAGCATCTCCACCCCCATCGTTCTGCCCGGACACTGAGGTCCAGCGCCGAGGGCCTTCTGGCGGTTTCTTCACTGCAAGAAGTGAGATTACAGGGAACCAGGGAGAGGGCCTTCTCGGTAGTATCACCCGCCCTGTGGAATGCCCTCCCCTCAGATGTCAAGGGAATAAACAACTCTCTGGCTTTTAGAAGACATTTGAAGGCAGCCCTGTTTGGGAAGTTTTTAATGGTTGATGTTTTATTGTATTTTTAATATTCTGTTGTGAGCTGCCCAGAGTGGCTGGGGAAATTATTATTATTATTAGTAGTAGTAGTAGTATTACTATATCTATTTGGCTTCACGTAATGTGCTACTTTTGAACAGAGTATCAAAAATAGAGAAAGTTTTCTGCAGTCGTGCTTCACATCATAGACAGCCAACTTGAGTACTACTCTATGATCCAGGCCATGGGTAGGCAAACTAAGGCCCAGGGGCCGGATCCGGCCCTTTCGCCTTCTAAATCTGGCCCGTGGATGGTCCAGGAATCAGCGTGTTTTTACATGAGTAGAATGTGTGCTTTTATTTAAAATGCATCTCTGGGTTATTTATAGAATCATAGAATCATAGAGTTGGAAGAGACCACAAGGGCCATCGAGTCCAACCCCCTGCCAAGCAGGAAACACCATCAGAGCACTCCTGACATATGGTTGTCAAGCCTCTGCTTAAAGACCTCCAAAGAAGGAGACTCCACCACACTCCTTGGCAGCAAATTCCACTGTCGAACAGCTCTTACTGTCAGGAAGTTCTTCCTAATGTTTAGGTGGAATCTTCTTTCTTGTAGTTTGGATCCATTGCTCCGTGTCCGCTTCTCTTCTCTATTTGTGGGGCATAGGAATTCGTTCATAGTTTTTTTTCCAAAATATAGTCTGGCCCCTCACAAGGTCTGAGGGACAGTGGACCGGCCCCCTGCTGAAAAAGTTTGCTGACCCCTGATCTAGACAGAGGTTGGGAAGCCAGGAGTGGTAAGCTCCATAATCAACTTGTCCCTAGTAAACAGTAAGGGTTTCATGTCATTAGAAAGAAATCCATGCATTTATGTTATCATAGAACATGAAGGTACATAGTCTCTATTTCTTAACACTTGAAAACATTTTTGATAGAGCCACCAGAGGCCAGACGAGATTAATTCAGTTGACCATTTCCAATCTGCATGAAACTGTTGTGTTTGGGGCAAAGCTTGCGCACAAATCAAACACAGACAGTATACTGTTGATCATAAATGATCAATTTTATATCTTGTGGGCTGTCTCCAGCTAATCAGCTATGCATTGGAATTTCTCTACCCACTTCTCTGCCTGTGCAATCTGTAAATATATCTAGGGGGTCCCCCAACGCTCTGGAGTAGGTTTACTGGGTGTGCAGGGGGTGTGCAGAGAGAGGAGGTGGTAGTGAAGTTCTATTGCATAGCTAAAAGTCCTTGAGCTAGCAGAACTGTTTAGTTGAAGACCACCCTAGACCACCCCACATAGTATATATTGAGGTATATACACCATTCTCTACAGCTTGATGACTTTATAAACAAATAAATAGGAGAAAACTAACTTGTGACCCTGCATATAAGCAAATTAAAGTATCCCCCATGAGAATATGAATTGCCAGCCCAAGTGATGCTTTACCAAGCATGGAACCTGCAGCCATTCATCTTCTGTTAATGCATTTTGCTATAAGAGATAATCCAAGATGCAACATGTTATGACTTCCATAGTTACAGCCACTGGCAGAAAGCTACTTTGAACACAAGAGAGAATCCATCTATTTTGCAATTGTCAAGTAGCACAGAAGTGTGAGGGCAGATTTAATAAGCAAGAGACACCTCTGCACCATTTCTCAACTTAACAGTATTAGCCATTCAGGATATATGAAGCAATATATGAACTTGCACAACATTTCTTAACCCCTGTCAAACACACACACACACACACACACACACACACACACACAGCGCCTGGAAACCAAAGCAGAGGAGGCCCTATCCTATAGAAGCAAAACATGGGAGCTGAAAAAAGTGTTGTCCATACAAGATCCATCCTTTTTTCTTTCTTTCCCCCACTAGCCTGTCCTATTACAAGAAGACATGAGGTAGTGAAATTAAATTCTATTGCTAGGCAGAAACTATTTCAGTCACCTGTAGTGTGTTTCAGCTGTCACACACCTGTCATCTATCAAAAGGCACCAAGTGCATCACAGAACAGGGCATGATGGAAAACATAGACTGAGGCGGTTGGCTCTGATACACTCCCCTCCACCTCTTCTAACAGCACACAATGTTAGTTCAATGTTTTCTTCCTGTTGCTGTGTGACTATCATTTACCTTACGAGGCACACACTGCAGCTTGAACACACAGGAGGATTTCTGTGGCCTGGTGGGTGGTACTTAAGATTTTTCAGAAATTACCTTTTTGTGATTCATCAGTCAACAGTTATTAAGGAACAACAAGCGCAACAAACACAAACATAAGAATCCAATGTTCTAGATGCAGTTAGGGAAAAGGAACGTAAACCTTTCGTTTGGTTACTTGTAGAGCTGCCATCGCACCAATTCTCTAATGATAGTGAATTTTATATTGGGGGGATATAATAATGGGGAGGTGGACAGAGGGAGAAAAATAGCTGCTTGTTGCAAGATGTAGCAGGTGCATCACAGTGAGCTCCCCCCCCCCATCTAAATGCTTTGTGAACATTTTGCAGAGTTCTCAGCAGAAAATCTGCCCCAATTTTCCCTTTACCTGACACATCACCCCACATGTTACAGAACATCTCCTGCTAATTTCTAATGGAACTTTATGGCACCACTTCTAAGCCATTAATTAACCACACAGGTCTTTCCTTATGCTCAGTTCTGGGGACACCATTTCTGCAAAAGACGAGAAACCGAGCACATTTCCCTGAACTTTCCCACCTTCAACATTACAGAGGAATTGTGGGGAGAAGCCGGCTGTCATTTGGAATAAGGAGGGAAACAAACAGCAAGTTGATAACATTGTCAGTTCAAGCGAACACCAAATGGTTATGAAGGAAAGTGCCAGTCTGACGCCTCAAAAGTAAACACTGATTTTAATAGGGCAAAGGCTGTGAAGCTTTTCTAATGAGAAGGCAACAGTAAGTTTAGGAATCGCCTTGCCTAATTTTGTCTACCTGGTAAAGAGAGGTGATGTCAAAGGCTGCAAAACACAGTACCTGTCATAACTCCACCGACTGTAAGACATCGTCCTGTTGCCACTGACACCATCCATTCTTTGCAGCTGAGCGCTTGCTCCTACTCCCTGCAGCCTCTCCGATTGTCTAATCAAAAGAATGGCTGAAAAGAGTTCCTTTTAAAAAGAAGGAGGGGGAGAGACAGAGACACCTGCCTCTGAAAATCCTGTCCGACTGGAAAGATGCTGTACAACACCTATAAGCACTGAACAGTGGGACTAGAATTAAATGCACAGCAACCAATTTAGTAGAGGTTCACAATTGAAGGAATGTACCACTGTCTTTTCAAGAGCAGGGGATTCTCCCCGAGCTGCGATTCATATGTTCTGTGCCAACGTCTGGAACATGATTTCAGCTGTTTCTCTGGCAATACAAGATGACGGTGGGAGACAATAGGATTATGCTGAGGAGCTTTCAAGTGTTTGTACAAATGTGCAGCCATGGATAGGAGAGATGTAACTCCTGCTGCAGCATTTCTTTGTTATTTATGCTCGTTTCCACAGATACAGCTCCATCTTCCTTCCCCCCCCCATCACTTTTCTCTTGCCAATAACATAATCCCTAGATCTTTCAAATGCTACCTTTAGATGGACATGTAATAATGATGTCCTCTGCGTATTAGCTGAAATGAAGCACCAGCCCCAGAGTAACTTGTTCAATGGTTTAGCTGTGTGAAGAGCACTCTGTTTGTTTTGTTTTTGACAAAAAGCACACTTCTAATCCTGTTTTCTGTATATATGCAAATGAGCCACAAAGGCGGTTCTGTTTGTTTTTAATTCTGCTGCTTGACAAGCAGCACTTTAATTTAAAAAAAAAAAAAATTCTAAGCCACTAACTGGCCAGCCCAAAGAATGCTGAACTCAGTAACATGAGAGCCACAACCAGAGACATTGCTTTCATTGCTCCAAATGACAGCATACTGGAAATACTTCACATGCTTAACATGTCAAAGCACTGCATTTATTTCATGTAAAATAAACCTGATCTTGTTGTTATTATTTATATGGGACCATTCATGTTCATGATTCTCCACAAAGCCAAATGCCTCTCCTGAAAGAGCCAGACTAGCCTCCAGGGGAGGTGATAGCCTGGGTGACAAGCCACTAAGGATAATAATAATAATAATAATAATAATAATAATAAATTATTTGTACCCAACCCATCTGACTGGGTGGCTTCCATCACATATAAAAGCATAGTAAAAACTTAAACCTTAAAAAGCTTCCCTATACAGGGACACTTGCAGGTAAGTTAGAAAGACAGAGGCAGAGTTGAGTTTTTGAAGAGATGTGAGCTAGAGGCTAGATGCAAAAAGCTGTAGGCTGAGGAGTGGAAACAAGAGGAATTACCGACAAAGAAAGAATGACAATCGAGTATGCGGAACTGGCTAAAATGATGGGAAGAATCCAAGAACAGAGGGACCAAAAGTTCATCAAGGACTGGACTAAATTTGGAGATTATTTGAAAGACAATTGTATTCAATTAAATACGTTGGTAGGATTGCAAGAAGCTTTGTAAGGAAAGGTACAAAAACCACTGCAGATAAGAATAAGGAAGTATGATGTTTTAATGTTTTTTATTTTAAAGCAATGGTTAGATAGTGAAAATGCAGAAATTTGAAATGAAAGATAGAAAATCATAAGAAAGTTTGAAGGAAGTCAGGGCCCTAAAAAGCCGAAATGTATAATATAATATCATATGAGGAGATATTGTAATGGAAAGTATTAATGTAAAACTAATAAAAATGATATGCAAAAAGCTGTAGGCTGGAAAGGCAAAGAGAGAGAGAGAGAGAGCCATGATTGATTTCTGCAGGAATCTAAGGCTGTGGCTATGAGAGAATCAAGGCCTTCTTAGGGTTGACACTGTGAACTCCTCCATCACAGGCTCGTATTATATGTATATGTAAACAAACCATATATAATAAAGACCATATGATGTGCCTCATTTCCGAAGGAAATACAAACCCTGAATACACACCTAGAAACTCACACCACTCAGAGATTGGGGTGGCGTGCAAGACTATACATGACTACGGACAGCAAATAGAAATATCAGTCTCTGGTTGTCCCAGACTGCAGGTGTTGAGTTAGTAGATGGGCCACCCAGAGCAATCCCTCCAGCCAGTCATGGTTGACTTTGACAACTCATCTGATAGCTTAACTTACTTCTCAAGGCTGGTGTAAATCCTGCATGAATTCAGTTGTGAATGCCACGGAATTTCTTGAAGGTGGGTGGGATACAATCAAAGCGAATTCCAGAGGAGAAGCCGTGTTAACCTGCTGCAGTGAAATCAATTTATTAAGGCAAATCTGTAGAGACTAAAAGAATTGCCATAATAAAATGTGTTTCAGGTGCTATAAGATTCCTTGTTGATTTAAATGTAACAGAAATATTTAAATGGGGAGCATGTCCCCTTGAGATACTTCAAATGCTACATTGTCCCTTAATTATGAAATTTTCACAAGACAACTCATTCTAAGAATACTGCATGAGGCTGTGTTTCAGCAACTAGACATTAAATCCTTTTGGAAGTCTGGTTTTTATAGGGCACCCTTTATTTGTTAGAAAATCACTTTTGTTGCCAAGGCAGGTTGTACATTACAATCTCCATGTGCTGGCAGTGTGCATTCCCATTAACCTATCAAATGCAAAGAGAGAGAGAGAGATAATCACAAATTTGGTTGAATGGATTACACGGAAATGTTTCTCCAAAGGAGAGACACAGTAAATTCAAGTAACTGGGAAATGCAAAATAAGGAGTCTTCTAGAAAGGCTTTTATACTTTGTACTCTGCTGTCTCGATAGCTTTAACAACACATGACTTCATTATTTATTTTAGTATAGGGCTATGTTTTTTTAACACTATCATGTGTAAAACAGATGGTCCTAGTATATTATCCACAGACCGCTGGCTCCAAAGATCACAGCCTTTTGTGTGAGCGTAGCCTTTAAGGTGGTGTGAAAATGCTGGGAAATTGTTTCTGCCTTCCTCCTTGCCCAGTTTAATTATGTTCAGCGCAGCGATAACACAAGTTTCTACGGAACACGAATACATATTCTGAAAAGTGACCGAAGTGAAGTCCTTCCTTTGAGACGTGCCGGATGGCTGTTCCATTCAGTGTGTAACACCGTGAGCCATCCATGAAACAGAATAATTGGTCGTTCGTACTCTAGGGCCCTTTATCACAGCTGAGGCACTGCTCTTCCGCAATCGGCCAGAAGTGGAATTCAAACGGTGGTTGCACTGCGACATTTATTGCAGCTATATTTCAATATGGGTCTGCAACAGTCTAGCAGTGCCCACAGGCATGATCCTGTTTCCTCCGAAGCAAGTCCCATTCAGTGCCATGCTGTCGGACTTGTTCCCTAAGAAAGCATGCAGCCTTTTCAGTGCTACAGGGTTAATTATTAGCAATAATATTATGAATTATTATATTATTATTTGTATTCATTTTATTTTTGTTCCTTGCTGCACCCATGCAGTTGCACACCAACAGGAGAGAAGACAACAAATGTTTTATTGTCATGCTTGCTGCACTCTGGCTGCTTGAAATTAACGAGGAGAAGTGGATTTCCCCAGGTGCCCATTCCTGCTGCCACCACCGAGTTCCTTTCTGCATCCATGGAGTGCAAGCTGTGGCTGGGCAGTCTTGGATATGAGTATGAAAGGGGCTGCAATAGTGCAGACACTGCTGGTTGCTTTGACTGGGCTTTTCCCACACGGAGGGGCAAAGGCTGGAAAGAACACAGACAGGGCTCTCTCCCTGAACATCAGCTACAGCCAAAGGTGACTAGATGAGCTAACACAAAGAGAGGCAGAAGTGGACACTGCCAGTGCTAGATTTACATATAAGCTAAACAAGCTATAGCTTAGGGCCCCACTCTCATGGGGGCCCCAAAAAACGTAAAAGAAAAAAAAACCTGGCTGTACATTTCCAAGTTATAAGATAAAAAACAAATAAAATAAAACCTACACATAGCAACAGTGTTTTGTGTTGTGTAGGCTCCTATGATGTAAGTAATGGGCCCGGCCTGCTAGCCTGCTCCCTAAAAGATCACTGGTTTGCTCATTTCTATATCAATTACTTTGATAAAATACATATTGTGTGATGTGCAAATGGCTTTAGATACCTATTAGGTCCATAAATTACCATATAGCATATATTCAACACAAAAAACAGCGACAATTTGTTGCTGGCAGAGGACAGCTGGACATCTAAAGGGCCCCATTACCTTCAGTAGCTTAGGGCCTCATCAAACCTAAATCCGACCCTGGACACTGCACAAGGTGAGACCTGGTGAATGCAGAAGTTTCCATGGTACCTGCGCAATGAGATTCTTGCTGCCTCCTCCACCTCTTGACTTCATGAACTTGCTGCTCCCAAAGATGAGATGGGGAAGGCCCCCCAGAAGTGATTGGAAGTCATCTCCCATCAGCTGTAACCACCGTCATGTCGTAGGGTTGGCTGTGAGGAAAAATAACCCTCAAATAAGATTAGCCACCTTTGCAATAGAGGGTGTCAACAAAACCTGCAAATGCAGCCTGTCTGAATTGGTAGCCAGCCAACATTTTCAGATGCAGTGGGGACCTGAACAGGCAAGATAATAGCATGGTGACAAACTGGGGGTTGTGTTAGTGCTCTCTGCACCAAATAAGGACAAAATCTTGTCAATCAGCAGAACTTCATTAATATTTTGTTCTGTGTATCATTTCAATTCACCCTAAGGCTCTCTTTAGCCTCCTATGCCAATTTAAAGCTTCTGTTATTGGTCTCAGCACCTTTGTTGAAAATGGCTGCTAAATAAAACAATCAGAAGTTGATGCAAGCAACAGTTAGATTCATCTCTAAGATTTCCAGTACAATGGATGTCATACTTAAGGTGCCTGAAGTATCTCAGTGATAAATCTGCTGAAACAGAATTGTTATGTAAGAGCAAGCTGTAAGAATCTAATGTAGAAACTCAAATAAAGGCCCTGTTTTTCTATCTGAACTCTTCTGATCACACACTTAAATATGCCTCTCTCTCTCTTTTAAGTACAGTGGTACCTCGGGTTACAGACGCTTCAGGTTACAGACTCTGCTAACCCAGAAATAGTACATCAGGTTAAGAACTTTGCTTCAGGAGGAGAACAGAAATTGTGCAGCAGCAGCACGGCAGCAGTAGGAGGCCCCATTAGCTAAAGTGGTACCTCAGGTTAAGAACAGTTTCAGGTTAAGAACGGACCTCCAGAACAAATTAAGTTCTTAACCCGAGGTACCACTGTATCTGAAAGAGAAAAGAGCTTTCATCAAATCTATTTTAAAAATCTATGTTATGAACAGATGCTAAGTGAACCACCCCACCACCTCCTCCTTTTCCTCCCATATACTTCCAATGTATTGCTCTTACTCTGGATTCACCCCAGAAATAGGGATCTTATGCATATTTTAGGACCACATGCAGCTTTGTATCATGACTATCATACACAGTACAGGAGAAGACGTGAGCGTATTCACGCATTTCACCAGCAAAAAATATTTCACCGTTTACTCAGGAGAGATACAAAATACTGTGCCAAGAAAATAGTAATAATACTATTTATGCATGTCAGGGAACTGCCATCGGAGCTAGAGGTGGAGGGAAGGCTCCAAAGGGATGCAGGAGAGGGTCCCAGTAGGGAGAGAGGTAGCCCATCTGTTGGGGAAGGAAATCAGCGTAACACCAGTGGAGAAGGGGGGCAGGTGGGGGAATCGGGGAGGAGGCTCCAAGACTCTTCGCTGGAGACCAGCGGAGAGAGTACGGGTACTCCGCTGCCCACACCCTCCCTGCGCAGAAGACTTCCGCGCAGGGAGAGTAGGAGGAGACTTGGCGTCAAACAACTTTTATGCTGGAAAAGGTTTAAGAAACGCCCACTGACGGATTCTGCCAGCGACTGAGACAGTCACGATGCTGGAGGCTGCTCAGTCAGAAAGGGTTAACCAGGTAACCTAGCCAGGAGTGGCGGCAACTTACGCACGAGCAACCCCTAAACCCATTACAATGCACTACAGATAAATAACTTTTGCATGCAGTACTAACCAAGGGGAATCTGAATGGCTATCTTATTCAACATGGCTCAGAATAGGAGGAGGTATGAGACTGTCCTAGCTAGGCTGTCCTTTTTCTCAATTCAAATCAAAGTTGGCTTTGTGGGTGTGTGCATCAAAATCGAGTATGTTATAAGATGGGTATGGGTATGTTATAAGATGGTTATGGATCATGGCCAACGTCAACCCATGCTGTTATCATCACTATTAAGAGGAGAAGGATACATTGTAAAACCAGCAGAGGGCATATCAACTAATCCCTTCTCTCCAAAGCAATGGGAGCATGCTCAGTGACTTGCTTCTCTGAGAAAGTTGCAGAAGAGATACCAGATCCAAGAATTAAGTAGGCTGTAGGCTATGAAAGCACAAGCCACAACAAATGCCAGATTTTAAGGAATAATAATAATAATATTAATAATAATTTATTTATACCTTGCCCATCTGGCTGGGTTTCCCCAGCCACTCTGGGCAGCTCCCAACAGAATATTAAAAACACAATAAAACATCAAACATTAAAAACTTCCCTAAACAGGGCTGCCTTCAGATGTCTTCTAAAAGTCAGATAGTTGTTTATTTCCTTGACATCTGATGGGAGGGCGTTCCACAGGGTGGGTGCCACTACCGAGAAGGCCATCTGCCTGTTTCCCTGTAACCTCACTTCTCACAATGAGGGAACCGCCAGAAGGCCCTTGGCTCTGGACCTCAGTGTTCAGGCTGAATGATGGGAGTGGAGACGCTCCTTCAGGTATACTGGGCCGAGGCCGTGCTATCATGTCCTTACTGCTTCATGTAGGATCCAAGGCAATAGAAACATGTTCCCTAACTAAGGCTGCCAAGCTTTTGTTAAGCCACCAGCCACCTCCAAAAAGTGAGTTTTCCATTGTTGATACTTAGTCCATATTTATTGTGTGTGAAAATTTGTTTTCACTTCAGTGCAGCTTTCAGCACCATAACACTGTGCCAGCAACAATTCTCAGGTGTATTTAGCGCAAATAATTCAGCTGAGATGCACACAGCAGAAGCCTCAAATCAGCCCTCAGGCTTGGTAAACAACTAGTGCAAACAGGTTTCATTAACGCTTCTCCCCACAATGGCACTAACCTCTGTTCGGTGAGAACAATGCAATTTGGATCTGAGAATGGAAACAGCGGCAGCCTAGCCTCCCCTTTGCCTATTACCTGAAGACACTTAGTTGCTTGCAAGAAGTGGGTTGAAATTACTACAATTTGGACTAAATGTGCAGAGAGTGTCGAGGATGCTAATTTCACCTGTTTTCCTTAATGTGCTCCCCCAGAGCATTTACAGGTGTGTGCTGGGAAGGTGATTAAACTGATTTGTAATCCTTACAATGCTTTCCAAAGCAACTGATCATCCTTTTTTTAAAAAAAATGGTATGATTGTTAGTGATCAGTGGTGGAAACAAAAGCAAATGTAGATGGCAGGCAGGAAGAATTACAGAATTCAGATCACAGAATTTGATATAACTGCTGCAGCAGTTATAACTGATATAACTGCTGCAGCAGCAGCAACAACAACTAGCAAATTCTGTAAATGAGAGTAACCTGGTTCAAAATTACACCAGATGATAGTTTAATAAAAAATTATTATTATTATTATTATTATTATTATTATTATTGTTATTAATACCCCGCCCATCTGGCTGAGTTTCCCCAGACACTCTGGGCGGCTCCCAATCAAGTGTTAAAAACAATACAACATTAAATATTAAAAACTTCCCTAAACAGTTTAAAACAAACAATGATTTACTGTGAACTAGCAGCATGCTGTTCAAAAGTTCCCATGGTGCTCTCCTCCTCCTCCTGCCTGCCATGGATGAACTATGCCACAGTTTGGCTTATATAATTTGAACCCAGGCTCATGGTCTGTTTCCTCCAAACAAACCGCAACTCATAAAATCAATGTTTATTCCTCGCTGACCACTTCAGGGTTTTGGGGGGAGGAAAACCGAAAGTCCAGGTTCAGAGGACATGACAAGCCAGCCTCTGGCTTGCTTTGTCTGCAGTGTGGCAGCAGAGTGAGGAAGAGATGCTGCGGGGACTTTTATGCACCGGCACATTGCTTGTTCTCATTAAATCATTGTTTTAAACTATGGTTTAATGTGACATGCGACCTAGGCCAATGGCTTCGTTTCAGAGGATGGGGGATAGAAGGCCAGAATGTGTTAGTGGTGTTCCGCTAAATCTTTCGCAAATGCAGTGTAGCATTTCAGGGTTTGTTATATGGTAGCAGAAAGGGAGGCATGAAACATCCCTCCAGGCCTCTCTTTACAACCCACCACGCTTGCCACTGGCTCTCCTCACTGGCACCCTCCTCAAATGCTTTTCTATGCCTGGAAATGGTCCCTGAACTCTTGATAATGCCTCTTGTTTTCCTGGATGGAGGATGGAGAGATGTGATGTGTGAGAGGAGTCCAGCAACATCCAGAGGGCTTGTCCCTATTTTCCCACAATCAAATCATCCCATTGTTTTGCAGCTCCCTTGCCTACTTCCAGTTTTGACAATTTATGCCCTACAACTTAGGCATCTGTTGTACGAGGGCACACGCTGGTGACGGCACAAAAGGGACCAGTTGCCCCTTTACAACTTGCTTAACTGCAAAACGATGCAAAGATGTAGAAGTAAGGAAATATGAAGATCTGCCAACTCCCCACTGCTCTGAGCGCTATCTTAAGCCGCCGGCCCCTGGGACTACTTGGAAATCTAACATTTTTAATCCACTGAGCCTGCCGAGCAGTTTTTTGGGGGGGAGTGCAGAGGGCTGTTTTGAAAAGAGGGAATCTGCAAAAATAAGCTTTGCTAAAAGATGAGCTGCTTCTTAGTTCACGTATGTGACACGGCAACCGTGAAATCACCCAACTGCTGTGCTCCTTTAACTATGATCCAAGACACGTATTTGCTTTCCTCAAGTGTACATTTGGGGATGCAGGCAGCTGCCTTAAACTAGATCAGACAACTGGACAATCTAGTTCTGTTTTAGCCACTTTGACTGGCAGTGGCTCTCCAGGTTTTCAGGTAGGTGACATTCAGAGCCCTGTCTATGGGGGATTGAACCATAGCTGTCAACTTTTCCCCTTTTTAAAGGGAAATTCCCTTATTCCGAATAGGAATTTCCCTTAAAAAAAGGGAAACGTTGACAGCTATGGATTGAACCTGGGACCTTCTGTATGCAAAACACATGCCCTTCCATTGAGCTACAGCCCTGTTTCACAACGTAGGTTTTGTATAAGAGACTGTCTGGGTCTCTACTCCCTTTTACAGCTCACTGTTTCTCAGACTAACCTGCCACACAGGCATAAAGCACTCAAAGCTTTCTGAAGCAAGCACAATGTAACAAACATCTGAGTCAATGTGATTGCTGGTTTTCTCTCTTCCTCACACACACAGAGTGCAATTTGCTTTCCTGCTTTGATCACACAACAGGAGGATGAAAGACCTTGCAGGCAAATCCTGAATATGCCTAATTGGGAGTTGAACCCCACTGTGGCTTACTTCTAAGGCCTGTTTTCTCACATTTCGGAAGTAGCTTCATCATGCCAATCCAGTATCATTAGATCCAGACAACCCTGTAAAAGAGACCAAACGTATGGTTACTTCCTACATCAGCATCAATCCATGTTAATTATCAACACCCTTAACTAACAAATCTCTCTCATGTGTGTGTTTTGAAAAACCCAGTGCAGAACAGAACCTAGAGTAGGTTCTAGAATTTCTCTAAAAGTGTGAAGTTATTATATATCATATCCCAATACTCTTTTACCCTTTTACAAGTCCAACCTCATCCCTGCTTTAAGACAAAGCCTTGTTGATGGCTTCGCTAACAGCAAATACCAAACCTCATGTTTAATTGTATCTTGAACTGCAATAGGCCTCATCCCAGGCTAACAGATGGCTCTGTATTTGTCTCAGTCCTGACAAACCTTTCCATTACTGTTGCCCGGTAGAGCAAACATGCCACTTGGGCAAAGACTGATGAAATCATGGCTAGAGAAAGGAACCTCGCTGAGCAGCTTTGGGTTTGGGGTAGAATTCCTAACAAGAGGCAGAAGATAAAGGCAGATGTGGCTGGAAAACCATGCTCTTCACATCAGTTGCCTTACCATAACAAAGTAATGTGATGTTGCTTCCATAGATATACAGGGTAATATCAAAGTAGACTAACTGGGCTTACTCTATATGACTAATGTTGGATGTTACCCAAAATACAGGTGGATGCTTGGAACATTTGTTGATTTGGTCTAATCACAATTTAGGTGTCCTTGTATTTGCTTAGAATAGCTTCTGGTCCCAATTTTGTGGTTATCTTAATAGTGTCACAGAGGCCTGTAATAATACTTCTTGACAAATAGTAATAATAATTTTATCATTTATACCCTGCTCATAAGGGTTAATCACCATCACTGCCAGGGATTTCCCCCCCCCCCCAACATTTATATACTGTGCAATCGTAATAAAACCTCAAAACAGTTTAAGAGTGAAACAATGACATTATCAATGAAAAAGTACTTCAAACGTTCAAAAAGTAACTGAAATAATAAGGTAAATCCAGATTAAAACTGCTTCTAGATGCAACAGAGGATGCAGAAAAGAATAGATATCAACCTGTAGTGCCAAAGAGAAATAAGGAAAAGCAATGGCACCTTTAAAAGATGAAATGGATCTCCCTTCCCTCTTCCAGGCAACAAGGGCTTTGCTTTTAATGTAACTGTATTTAGCAGACAGCCTATATACAGTACTGTACTTCCTTGCCAGCTTGCACCTCCCCTCTCCCACTCTTTGCTTGCTGGAACCAGAAATATTCAGCCAGATTTGAAGCGCATCCAAGCTCGTTCTCAACTATGTAATTATTAAGCGAAAATTCTGCTGCCTGCAGTATGTTCAAGGCCCCCTCTGCTGGACAAACTGTTGATTCAGCTGTCAACAGTTAAAGAAAACAATTGAGTCAGAGTTCCTGGCACACTCGACAATGCAAAGAATGCTGTATCTAAGCAGGAAGACAAAGGAGGCTGTGATAGAGGGAACCTAATACTTTTACAATGCCCATTCTACTCAATCTCCGGCATTGCCATATCTGAGCCACAAATCACACCCTGCAGCAGACCTCTCGAAGCAAATGTAAATAAAATAATCCCCATTCTTTAGCCTTTGCTTCCTCGCCATCCCCAGACTACTGTGTTCTTATAAGCCTTTTTATCAGGCTGCATAAAAGGTGTCCTCTGAGGCCTAATCCACCTCCCGAGTTCTCACGCCAATGAAAATGGCCAAGTGCAAACAAAAGTAAGAGACTTGGTGTGTGAGGGCTGTGCTGAAGTTGAGTTTAGGTGCGATTTAACCTTGGCTGGATGGGACCCTCATAAATCTCCTCCTCACCCATATTTGTATCTGGAGTCTTTCAGCTGCAGATATAGATGAGCCTATAAATAGGATTAAGCCAGGTTCAACTCTGACTGGGAAGGATCTCCCGCTCTGTGGAAAGCTTACAGCCAGCAGTGGCTTCTCCTCACAGGTAACAAAAAAGAACAGACCTATGCACAATTACTCAAATTGTGCCAAGGCCTCAAAAGGGCATCATATGCATAGGAAGGAGGTGTGGGGCCACACAGACCCCCAGGAGTCACAGAAATTTCCCTACCCCCAATGTCCAGGCATCAGGAGAGGAGGACGTATGCAGAGGAAAAGCCTGGGCTTTCTGTGCTATGCAGGACCATGTTGGAGCCATATTCATTGCTTCTACTGTTAATTTTAATGCATATTTTGTGTTGTGTAAACCACTTAAGAAGTTTGGATGATTAAGCAGCACATAAATCATGATAAATTATATATATGAAAGCAGTGGTGGAAGGTTATTTAGACTTGGGCCAAGCTACCAAGAACTGAGAATTCTTGGAGAACAGGTAAGGTCCCTACAGACTGGAGGCGGGCAAAAGCTGCCCCCATTTTCAAAAAGGGGTACAAAAAAAGACCCAGGTAACTACCGACCGGTGAGCTTGACATCAATGCCAGGGAAGGTCCTACAACAAATAATTCAACAGTTGGTCTGTTAGCATTTAGAAAAGGATGCTGTGATTCCTAAGACCCAGCATGGGTTTCCTCAAAAATAAGTCTTATCAGACCAATCTGATTTTTTAAAATGGAATTACAAACTTGGTGGATCAGGGAAATGCTGTGAACATAGTGTATCTTGATTTCAGTAAGGCTTTTGACAAATATCCCCCATGATATTGACAGTATCGAAGGCAGCCATCTTAGCAGTTAGCCATCCAAGCAGTTGCCATGAAAACAAATGAAACAATTACATTATAACAGGGGTGAATTCACATGTCAGCCACTAGTGTACTTCACCTCCTAAAAAACTTGTAATTGCTGTTATAAAGTCTAAGTCTCTTCAGCAATTTTTCATGTGGTAAAGTGCCCCCTTTGATATGCCATCCTTGTGGAGAGGGAAACGACTTGGATGGACTTGGATGCATATTCTCCAAGTGAAACTTACTTGTTTTTAAGCCTGATATTTTGCTACAATTGCCAAGACTGCCAGTCACAGCTGACAAGCTGATACATTTTCACACCTTAGTGCCTGTTTACTTACAGTGAAGCTTATCTGAAAAAAACAGAATCTTTTATTAGCTTTCAACTCCCCTGAATGGGCCTCAAATTACAGTTGGTGATCTGGCCATTCTCAGGGTACAGGAAATTTAGATTTCATCAGGGCTTGACGTTACAGCAAATAAAAAAAGGAGGTTTAAAAAAAGCACACCTGTTGGCACAGGCCAACTGCACCTGTTAAGAAAGTTCAGGAATTCTCATAATACTTAAAAGTTCATTCAAAATAGCTTTATGCTCTTATTCCGGAAATCACATGCTTTTGCTTCTCTGTGGAAAATAGAAGTTAAGACAAAAACATTCCTCAGTCAATGATTTAATTCTTCAGATTTCAGACATTGTCCCTACATTCCTGGGATGTTAATTAAAAAAAAACCAAACCACAGGGAGTTTTCATCATTTAGTTCCAATATGAGATTATTTGACATACAAGTACCGATACCAGGGTTTGAGGTTTCTTTGTGGAGAGGAAAATTGATTTACCAGAATTTATATATAATCTGTCAGGTTTATATCTAAACCTCCGCTCAGAATACAGCTTTTGATTGCAGTCTAACATTTAAGCTTCTGTTGTGCAGACTGCTGCTTTTCAGATGATTTTGTTAAGTTTCCCTGCTACTGTATTGGCCCAAATATAAGCCGCATGCACATATAAGCCGCACCCTTAAAATTCAAGGCTTATTTGCAGGTGTTGCCACCAAGCCAGTGCCAGCCAACCCTATTCAGGGCAGTAGTGCCGGGAAGCAGGTGCTCAACTTGTTGGCGGTGCGTGTGCTCCCTAGCTGGTTGGCCTGCGCACACTCCCCCCACCCACTGCCAATCAGCTGGGAGGCGGGCACACCGCTCCCCGCACCGCCAAGCAGCTAGGGAGCGTGCACGCTCCCCAGCCGCTTTCAACAGCATATGATAAAAAGTCATGAATATAAGCCACACTTATATTCTCTTCACGGTCTGAAATTGGAAAGTGTGGCTTATATTTGGGGCAATACGGTATATCCAGTACTATTTTTCCTAGAAAAAGAGGTGCCAAAGCTCACCATGAATGCCTCCCTTGCCCATTTATAATGGCAATGGCACCTACCTGAGGTGGTAGGAACTGAGATCCAGCTGATAAAAACCCTGACTGTATCTATTAATTTGTCAGATAAGTGAATCCATTTTAGATGTAGCTCATCTTGTTAAGAAAAAGACAAAAGGGAAATAGATCTAATAGGACACCCAAGGATTAAGCTTTTGAATTTACATAATAATCTCAAAACGCAGGCACCTGTTCAACAATTTGGGTACAGAACAAAAAAAAGCTACACAAAAAAGGGTTAAGAGATCCCATTTGTGCAAGTGGAGGGGGGGAGATGCCAGTTTGATAACATGTTGAAACGCTAACAATTTTGAGATCAATCACTCCAAAAACAAGAAATCATTCTTCAAAAAACAAAAAAAGAATTCTTCTTTTCCACATGGAAGAACTGAGATAACACAGGGGTGAGGGGGAGGAGAATAGCCATTCTATTTATTGCCTCTTGAGGTTTGTTCATGCTTGTCAGTTTTAGTATTGAGTTCTCAAATGCCATCTTTTGCTGCGTTGATCAAATCGTTCTGTATTGCATGGTTCTTTCCCAAACATCTTATCCAATAATTTTGTACCAATCCTTTGTTTCCATCGTTTGCTTTGAACAGCCAGGGCTGCTGACCATGCGCTGCTATTCTGAGATTGCCACTACAAATGCTAATCCTTATGTACTTTGCAGATACTGAAATCTAATATGGGGGAGTGACTAATGGGTAACATTTGCACCAGATGACAATGTGGTAACATCATGGCACAATTTGTGCCACACCAGACATTATGAGGAAGAAGATCTTGTAGCATCTAATACAATCCAATGTCCAAGCCCTAGAATGTCACTGAATTTTTTGACATTTGAAATCTCTCTCTCTCTCTCTCTCTCTCTCTCTCTCACACACACACACACACACACACACACACTCTAAGACATCACTGTGTTGCATTAGCAGAGCACAGCACTAGATTGACTAACATCTAGAGCAAACTGTCCCTGCCTTCTTTCACTCCTCTAGAATTGAAGTGCACAGTTGACACCATGCTGTTAAGGACAGCTGCGGCTCTTACTCCAGAAAGAGAATGCCGTTGTGCTTATTGCATTGAATGAGCAAAGTTTGCATGCATAAAAAAAAAGATTGCAGTGAAGTTAGAAGACAACAGGCCATAGTCTGAGTAAAGTTGAGTCCTATCCTACTTGATGGAATCATGGTCAGGTCTACACCTTTGTTGGAGAGCTGGTGGGAGTTAGATGCTAGAACAAATTCCCCACGCCTCTTGATGTCTCTTCTGCTATTATTCCCAACAATCAGTGTACCGCTTCAGAGCCATTTGGTGCCATTTATACCAAAAGTATTTTGCAACTTTGGTCTGCACTAATAACCAGAGAGTGGGCAGCAACTGGTGCTTCAGTGAGAGATGTGAATTCTGGCCCAATGCCAAAACTGAAAAATAAAGACAGGTGTACAGGAAATAGTTGTGTGTTTTTTGCTTTTTGTTTTGTTTTGTTTTACAGAATGCTTTCAATCTTCACAATTCTTATTGGGCATGCATACTGAAATGAGGTCATTCGCCCCTTGACAGACAGACAGACAGACAGACAGACAGACAGGGGAACTCAGACTAAATGCAGGAGACTGTCAAATCCAGTTTACGTATTGTGCTGCTGCTGCTGCAGTTGCCCTGCATGAACAGCTGGGATATTGGCTGCATCCTTTCCCATCCTGTATGAAGCGACTGAGTGGAGCCAGAGCCAGTTTCTGTGGTTGCTGAGAAAGGCACACAACTGGGACACCAGTTGCTCTTTCTGGCCAGCTGAAGGGGCACTGGATGCAGCACTGCTAGACATCTGTCTCTCTCTCTCTCTGCCCTTCATTGAGCAACCTGAACAGCAGAAGGCATGTACTGCATCAAGGGCTAAGCAAGAGAAAGGAGACAGGCAGCCGGATTCAACCCAAAGCTTCTAATTGTTTTTTCTTTCCCATGTACCCACACAATTCCCAACTCTGGAAGTATCTCATTTTCCACCAGATAACTAAAAAGGTGTAGGTCTGATCCGAGAGAGAGAAAGAGAGCTGGTTGAAAATGGGGTTTGTACAATAAGTTGCCACAAGTGGATATCAAAAATCAGGACAATTTCCAAATGCATTAAGCACCTTTGGCTATCCAACATAACTTCTCCTCCTTACCCTATGTGCCCCTAAATCTGTTGTGAGTTTCCTCCCATATTTGGGGTGGGGAGCAGGGAGATGAGGGAAGGCAAGTCCTGTTGCAGACCCAACTGTTTAGTTGGTTACTATCCCAGGAGGTAAGTTAAGGGACGCAGTGGCGCTGTGGTCTAAACCACTGAGCCTCTTGGGCTTGTCAATCCAAAGGTAGGTGGTTCGAATCCCCACGACGGAGTGAGCTCCCATTGCTCTGTCCCAGCTTCTGCCAGCCTAGCAGTACAAAAGCATACTAGTGCAAGTAGATAAAACAGGTACTGCGGCAGGGGGAAGGTAAACAGTGTTTCCGTGTGCTCTGGCTTCTGTCATGGTGCTCCGTTGCACCAGAAGTGGTTTAGTCATAATGGCCACATGACCCGGAAAGCTATCTGTGGACAAACACTGGCTCCCTTGGCCTGAAAGTGAAATGAGCATCACACCCCAGTCGTCTTTGACTGGATTCAACTGTTCATGGGACCATTTTTATTTATTTTTACCTATCCCAGGAACACAAAACAGAGCCATCTTGTGCAGTGCGTACCTAGTTGTTGATCCAAAGCGGTGAAGGAGTTTGGCTTCTTCCCGTTAAGGATCTTTTCCAAACTGAGGCCTGCATTTTCTAGTGAACAACCTTCCAGGTGTTGCAGACCAGTGGTTGACAGCTACATTCCAACCACACAAGGTTAAAGGTTCTCTCTTCCCCTCACATTCACACCCCTACCTATAGCCCTGGCAAGCAAAAGGTAATCTCAAAAATGACTATTCAGATTCTTCAGGAAGATTTGGGAAGTGGGCTTTAGGCTCATGCATTACTCTCCTCCCACTGGTGGTTGGAAGGGAACTACGAAAGTTATCTTCTGGCCCTAGGAGATAATAAATACCAATACAGGTGAGTGAAGGGACCACAAATAAGGTCTGGGAAGATCAAGGACTGAGTACATGAGCCTAAGATCTGTTCCTAATCCTCTTCAATGAAGATTCAAGACAAATAAGGGAAGACAATGTACATGCACTACCTTGCCAATTCTCCCATGATTTACTTACATAGTGACATGCTCATTAGCCAAGAGCGCTTGTAAAGTTGGTCCCAACTTATCTGGCTCTGGATAAGGTAATCTGTGCTTTTGGAAGGGTGGGAGAGGAACAAAGGACATAATTAACTCTGCACATGAAGAGGGCTGAATCTTCATCAGAACTTGTGCCTTGAAACTGCTCATATGTTGAAAGTTAAGAAACATGCTGGCTGATACAACTATTACATATTCTACCACCACAGAAAGACTGGTTTCACAATGGGGTTTCTCTTAAAACAAACTGAACAGAAGATTCCAAAGTAATTGGCATGTGAATGTGTACCAAATACTTTTTTCCGACCAAGGAAAAGGTGAGTGGGGCTGGGGCTAAATCTAGTTCCTTACTCTCTTTCCCAAAGAGTTGGTGGTGTGATTACAGGTTTTCTGCATAAGATTTACGAGTGTAGCAGAGGCTCCAACTGAACTGGAAAGAACCCTTTATGCAACCTCTGCTTGTAAGCAATTTAAAAGTGTTCTACATTCAAGTTACATTTCAACAGCCATGAAGTATCTGCTTGCAACAATTTAACAGAGCACTGTTTTACACCAGGATGGGTTGTCATCTTTTAATCAGACAGCTCTTGAGTTATTTTAGCCTGAAAATGTGTAAGCCCATATTACTGTTTCAGGAACTGGTCTCTTATCCTCTCCAAACCTTGATCCAGTGCTTAAAAGAAAATGGAAATAGACAGTGGAATTTCTCTTCCAATAAATGACTATATCCCGTGCTATTTTCTAGAAAAAAAGATGCCGGAGCTCACCATGAACTTCTTCCTTGTTCTCTTAGAATGGAAATGGTGCCCACCTGAGAGGGGCCGGAACTGAGCTCCTGCTGGAAAAAAAGCCCTGACTATATATCCTATTTAATTCTAGCACCTGAACCTATGCAAGGGTATGTTTAATAACCTGCTTTATACTTTTGGTGCGGTGACAAAAACTGCAAATCCAAGCCAGTATTTAATGTCACAGAATAAGCCTGAATTATTTGGCTACATTTTGCGTCATTCAAAGTTGAACAGCATTCACAACTGAACAATCATGTAAAGGTTTGTACAGTTTAATAGTCACATAATGGTCAGTCATTTGTAAAGGGTATGGAAGGCAATTTGAAAAACATGACAGTTTAACAGATACATCGGGCAGGCACATAATCGGCCACTGGTGTATACAACTGGAACAGAAAAGAGGTTCTACCACAGTTCTGCAGATCTTGCATTAATTTTGTCAGTTAAAAGTGTACTGTGAGAATTAAATACTCATCTTTACATTTACACGTTATGCCATGAAAGCATATTTGCTTACAAACATATAAAAATACTTGTTAACTAGTTTGATAAGAAAATAATGTATAAAAGTATATAGCAAAAAACATTTAATCATCTGACAATGAAAAGAGAAAATTCATTTATTTTTTTATCTTACATCAAAACAAAAAACAAAAAAACAGCTACAGGTTTCGTTTTCTTGAATCCCTTACCTGGAAAATACAAAAGGAAGACACAATTTATTCCAAACCATGATGTAAAATCTTCTAAAACTGAAACAAATGCCCAAGTCCAGAGTGAGCACAGGTATTTGGCCACATAGTTGTAATAATAATAAATCCTGTAGCTGTTACTGGAGCCATAAAATAAATACAGTAGACTGTTGACCACTGAAAAAGCTGCAGCATAAACAAGAGCTGAAACACACAAAAAATCTTTACTGACAATGAAATTCAGTGTATTGGCTTCCTGTAAGGCAAGCTGAATTTTGAAGTCTAACCTACTAAAGGGTAAAACCTTCAAATCCACTTTTTAAAAAAATACTCTACATTTTGATCAGAGGATTCCCTCTCAAGTGTGATTAATACGGATGTCACAAGTGGAAAAAATACCCATACCAGCAATGCTTAAGCTTGACTTCAATACCTTGTTTAATATTGTTTTGTTCCCTTTGTGAATAAAACTCCACAAGGTGCAAGCTTCTTGACACAAGAGGAGAAAGAAACTGGGAAGTATTAAAAGAAGCCTTAGTGTTTTGACATCTGCCCTGAGATGACTAAGATGTCTTCTAGACTGGGTCAGCCTTGTTCTTTTAGCCTAAGGCTACTTTGGTGACCATTTATACGACATGCACATATAAGGCTAGACAAAACACCGAGACACATAGAAAGGTAGGCAGAAAGGTAGAATTAATCTGGCAGTTGACAGCTTGGTTCAGAGGATTCTTAGAAGATGACACAGTGACATCCTTTCTTGTCCTTTTCCTTCCTTGTCGGCTCTGGGGAAGGAGGGCATTCTTGCTCTTGAAATTTCCTGTGAATGAAGCAAAAAATGCCCATAGAAACAATAAACTCCAGTCCAATGCAATTCCATATATAAAAGGGGCACTAACTTTGCTTTTCAACTGACCCTAGATTCCTCTGCTAAAAAATACAGCTGCATTGTCAATACAAACCATGGTCCATTTCTCTTAATATACATAGGTCTGAAGATGAAAGCAGATTTCATCTTTTAGGAATATGTGTGATATTACTGCAGCAATGCAGCAAGCAGCCGAGGTATTCGAGGGAATAAAGAGACCCTTTTAGCTCCCAGACTGATGTGTTTTGTGGAGATCCGATCAGGTTTTGTGGAGCATTCACTGTTGGCAATACTTGAAATGTCTCATCCTAGCCTCTTGTCCCACAGCATGGTGTCTTCTGCCAATGCTTGCTTGGAAAGGACTGTAGAAACAGCCTAGGTTGAAGGCTTCACCCCTTCTAGAGGCCAGATGCACAGCAACAGCTGTCCCATGGCGTAGAAGTCCCTGGAGTATCCTAATACACACTTGGTGTAGGTGCAGCTTGATTGTATAATGTTGTTGATTGCTAGAACTCAAAACAGCAACATAGGTAACACATCCCAACAGGAGTATTACTGAATGAAAAATGTGCTCAAGTTAAAGTAACGGAGTCTGATGTGTGTAGCTTTTCAAGATATTTTACATTAAACAGCAAGTGTTCCTGCTTATAACACTTGTCTTTTTGTTATTAAAGACAGGAAGCTTGAGATAGCGAAAGGCTTTCCATCTACCCTGATAGACTATGAACAAGAGAAGGGCTCACTTTACGCTTTCCTGGCAATGTCAGGCTAACAGAAAAACTACATATCCTCATTAAGGAGATTTTTAGAAGGTGAACTGAACACAGTGTTGTCCTGAAGGAAAAGGGTAGTACTGTACAAGAACAAGCTGAGTCAGTGCCCAGTGTCAATGTTGCAGTTCCACAATACATTGTCTATAACAACACAGGGGTAAAGATATTATATAGGACAATTCACGCCGGAACTCTTGGCAACATTAACATTCCCCATTACATGATACTGTTAAATGACCCAGTCATACTGTGACAACAGTGTCAAGGTGGAGACATTTAAACAAGATGCAAGGGAAATTGCTACACATCTGCCCAAAGAAAAAAGAAAAACTGTGTGTTCCTATGTGACTCACATTAATTCTAGTGTTACAAAAACATAGTAGTTTACATTTTGTTACAGTATTCAGGCACTGTATCCCCTTGATACAGAAATATCAAAGGGAAGCTGTGCTTCATTTCTTTCTTCCTTTCTTTTTGCAAAAGTGCATTTCAATATATTTACAATACATGGGCTTACCTTATAACTCTGACAAGCTCATGAAAAGCTTGGTCTACATTCAGTCGTATTTTTGCTGATGCTTCCATATATGTTACCTTCAGCTGCCTTGCTAGTTGTTGACCTTCCTCTTGCATTACCTGAAAACAAGCCGAGATAGGATACGCATTCAGCAATCTACTGGTGCTTTCCAATTGGCTGACTTACCTAATGAATACTCTCATCACCTACAGCAATTTTTGCATATTATCGGCACTGCAGTCCTGTGCAAAGGCTTCTTCAACTCTGGTCTTTGTCAATATGTTATTTGAATACAAATACATTTTTAAAATTTAGAGCCCAAAGCTCTGTATGTTTGAAAATGTGAAGACAGAGCCTAAGAAGGCTTAGAATCAAATTGTTTCCATATAAACTTTGAATGTAGAATTTATACACTGAAGTGTTGCAACTAAACACTGGCCTCAGATCAGTAGCCTGAATGTTGCAGTGACTAAGATGATAACAAAAAATGTGAGGAGCCCGGCCAGATCAGACCAATGGTCCATCTAGCCCAGCATCCTGCTTCTCCATAGCAGCCAACTAGCTGTTTTGAAAAACACCATTAGCAGGGCATGAAAATAATGGCTCTCTCCTGGGCTTTGGTCCCCAGCAGGTGGTGTCCAGTAGCATACTGCCTCTGAAGCTGGAGGTAATTGATAGGTCATCATGAGTACAATGGTACCTAGGGTTACAGATGCTTCAGGTTACAGACGCTTCAGGATACAGATTCCGCTAGCCCAGAAATAGTACCTTAGGTTAAGAATTTTGCTTCAGAATGAGAACAGAAATTGTGTGGTGGTGGTGGGAGACCCCATTAGCTAAAGTGGTACCTCAGGTTAAGAACAGTTTCAGGTTAAGAACAGACCTCCAGAATAAATTAAGTTCTTAACCCAAGGTACCACTGTAGTGGGACGCGGGTGGCGCTGTGGGTAAAACCTCAGTGCCTAGGACTTGCCAATCGCATGGTCGGCGGTTCGAATCCCCACGGTGGGGTGAGCTCCCGTCTTTCGGTCCCAGCTCCTGCCCACCTAGCAGTTCGAAAGCACCCTTAAGTGCAAGTAGATAAATAGGGACCGCTTTCAAGCGGGAAGGTAAACGGCGTTTCCGTGTGCTGCGCTAGTCCCGGTTCGCCAGAGCAGCTTTGTCATGCTGGCCACGTGACCCGGAAGTGTCTCCGGACAGCGCTGGCCCCCGGCCTCTTAAGTGAGATGGGCGCACAACCCTAGAGTCGGACACGACTGGCCCGTACGGGCAGGGGTACCTTTACCTTTACCACTGTAGTAGACAATGCACTGTGGAACTGAAACTTGAACACTGGGTCTAAATTGAGTTCTTGCGCCACTTCCTCCAATAACGCCTACCCTCTACTTGTGCAGCCCAAGTCACTATGCTAAAAAATTGGAATATTAAAACTATTAGGAAAATTTGAACTATTGGATCCTGCAGTTACTGGATCCTACAGGGAAAGCAGTGCCTTTATTAGGCAACATTTCTCTCAGCACATAATTAAGTGACCTCCTTGCTTCATGCTGGGGACATTTGTAACACACACGTCTCTCCTTAAGAAGGTATGGAAGGGGGCGGGGACTATATACTTAAAAGATTTCTTACCAACACTTTTCCATAAGGTCCCAGGCGGGGTTAAAACAACAGAAAGTGTGCTTACAAGCTATTGCAATTAGAAAACACATAAAACCATTCATAAATTATAAAGGAAGGTATGGCAAGCCACTCCACCTGACCCACATTAGTTACTATTCCAGTACTGCAGCTTCCCTAAATAAATTTGCCTTGATGTGCATGAATTTCCACATAACGTCATTGGTGGTATCCAACTAACTCAGTGTGACAGTGCAAGGGGAGGAGGTATGTTGCACAAGCAGAAATCCTTGCATTGATCAAACAAGTTAAGTGAATGCCACTCACTGTGTTCAGTGTATTCATTGTATGGCAAGATATATGCCATAGGATTCAGCTACCTCAGAGCTGAGCACAGCACACAGACATTTGTTTAGGGTTCTGGAATAGTCTTGATAATGTGCCAGCTCTCAAAGTACTTTTCAAGTTGTAGATAGTGCTTGAATAGTTTGCAAGATCCAAACAGATGGGAAATAAGAATACATACTTGTTCATAAAAGCGACAACTTGACTTCTTGCATTCAGAATGGAAACCCCCCTTTTACTGGAGGTTACACTAGCTATTAAGAGATGGTCCTCCTGGGCACACTCTCATGGGATGAGTAATTGTTGGTATGGCAAGTGTTGTAAACATAATTGAAGAGAGACTCATGCCTTGATAATGATGTCATGGATCATTGTCTCATCCTCATAGATTTTGACCTGAATCATTCATATGGCAATTACTCAGGGAACAAGCTGAGTTAACGTAGAAAGTGCAACATTATAATCAGGAAGACCAGTTTCCTAAGCCACTTCCTAAGTGTCAAGCCTCTTTATGGGAACATGCATGTATCCACTACAGATGCCCTTATCTTAGCACCCATTCCTCCAAACAAGTACTGTCAGATCTCCTTTATAGCTGCTTGATGCTAAATGTCATTGACAAAAGGGATTTGTTCATCACCAGAGTGTCTCCTCCCAAAAAAACTACAGATCAGTCATATGGAAAGGGATAATTCACAATAATGGCTTGGCCTACCAATTTCATGAGAGCATATCCTGTGGCCTAATCCAGCTGACTGTGGAATTTATTGTCACAATCATCTTCTTGCAATTACTGGTATAAGAAAACTGCCTTATACCAAGTCAGACCACTTTATCTAGCTCAGGAATGTCTAGATTAGAGATAGGCATATGGCTTCAACCCAATTCCACATGGCATCAACCTCATACTATATGGCCATTAATCTTATTTCATGCTGATGTCAATGAGAGGTGAAATGGGAAGAGCAGAAAGAGAAGGGGTGCCCTGACTGCATTTGGTTCCATCTCTGCCAACGTTTGGCTCTGATCCCACCAACTATTGCTGGCCTGGGTTCCATGGCCAATTATCCCAGAAGGAATGAGGTTCTCAAGAGAGAGAAAATGTTCTACAATTCCAACCTGCCCTGTTTAATAGTGGCTCTCCAAGGTTTGAAACAGGAGTTTTCCCCAGTGCAAAGATGCCAAGGATTGAACTTGGGGACTTGCATGCAAAAGTTATGCCACCGAGTTATGGAAGTTCCCTCGAAAAAGGGAGAGCCCTTTTTCAAACTCTGACTATTGCCAATAGGTTACCTGTCTCTGATGGTCCAGGTCTGCTTTGTTGCCAACTAGAATCATAGGGAATTCATCACGATCTTTTACTCGAAGAATCTGCCTTTGAAACTTATAGATTTCTTCAAAGCTGGAATAATAATAATAATAAATAAACAGCAGCAGCATGCTAAGAATCCACAGCTTCACAGTTAAGGATTGCCTAAGGCCATCTAACAAGTATTTGCTGCAGAGATGAGATGCAAACTGAAGATAACACATACAGACCCACCAGCCCAGCAGGCATCCCAAGACCTTGTATTCACCCACTAGAATTGTGTTACCTTCCTTTAAAATGCCAACATGATTTTGAAAAACTCTTGAGTTCCACCCCCATCCCCACTCCCCAAAAAAGTGGTTTGATTTATCATGTGGCAGGGGGACTGTTTTTCAAATAACACAAGTCTGCAATTCTCTTGAGCAGGCAGAACTCTGGATTCTGAACCTACAGTTAATTCAGGATGTTGCAAGCCACAACCCCATTTAGTGTTATTCTAGCTCTGCCCCTACACAATCCAGGTATTGATGCACATTTTGCAGCAATTTTGTTTTTTGCCTTACCTTCCTCTATCTGTGACTGAGAAAACAAGCAGAAAGCCTTCTCCTGTTCGCATGTACTGTTCCCGCATAGCTCCAAATTCCTCTTGGCCTGCTGTATCTAGGACTAAGCAAATCAAGAAGCTAGTTAATTTTACAGGCTAGCGAGGTAGTGTGTGAGAGAGGGGGGCGATGTGCCTTAAAGCAGCAGAGCTCAGGAAGGGGCAGATGTTGTTCCCATCCCATGCCTGCCCTGTTTAACCTTATAAATTAACCCTACACCACAGCCTAGTGTTGGCAAGCCAGCAATTTAATATACAGATACCCACATCTGGTTAAGCCTTTAGCTTCTATATTAAGAGGTTGAAAACTGTACCACAAAAGAAAGGGAGAAAGGCTTGGCCTAGTAAACGGCTAGATCACAAAGTTATTACAGTCTCTATACAAAGTTAAGGAAAATCAGTTTTAGTACCTGTATCAACAAGAGAGCAAACATACATTCTATAGGCCAGTGAAAATTCTGTAGAGGGTCAATCATCATCATCAACAACAACTTACTATCCAATCTTGCTGCCCTCTCATCTATCACACATTGTTTTGTGTAAGAATCTTCAATTGTTGGATCATAATCTGTAACGAAGTAGGACTGCAGAGAGAAAAGAAAAAACAGAGTTACTTTTAAGCCCATAGCACCCGCAAATGCTCTTTCTCATGTATAGTTTCCATCTGCATAGAGAATGAATGCAACCTTCGCTGACGCCTGGCAAGTAGTTTCCTGGGGACTGATATAGCCATAAACAATGTGATCATATACCCACCCCCAGGGTGAGCAGCAAGGTTGTGAGAAAGAAATGGCTCCAGGATTACACTAAGAATGGTGATACTACTATAGTCTAGCCATATAGATGTAAGAAGAGAAGAAGAAGAGTTTGGATTTGATATCCCGCCTTTCACTCCCTTTAAGGAGTCTCAAAGCGGCTAACATTCTCCTTTCCCTTCCTCCCCCACAACAAACACTCTGTGAGGTGAGTGGGGCTGAGAGACTTCAAAGAAGTGTGACTGGCCCAAGGTCACCCAGCAGCTGCATGTGGAGGAGCGGAGACTCAAACCCGGTTCCCCAGATTACAAGACTACCGCTCTTAACCACTACACCACACTGACAATGCAACATTAATCTGGAATAATTTGTGGAGAAATCCGATTTAGATAACCAAAAAATTTCAGAGGGTTACATTCCAGAATGTTTGTATCACTGCTACCCAGGAATGGCTGAATTATAACCAGCCACGCGGGTTCTTATAGGCAGCAGTCTTGCTTCTCTACAGTGCAGTGCAACTATGTGGGTTACATAAAGATGCTGAGCTTGGTTCCAAGCGCTACCACCACCTGTCTCTTCACTTTTCACAACCAAGGTCCTGCATATCCAGGATTTGACTTGGAATTGTAGGTGAGCCAGCAGAAACCAAGTCCGGACTAAAGCAATGACTTTTAGCAGGCTCAGGGGACTGGAGAGCAAGAAAGGAAGATATGGACACACTGCCATGATTAGGTTCTTTGACTGCTCAGGCTCCGAGTTCCAGGATGCTCTTGAGTTCTGAAGTTTTGATACAGCAGTGTGACTAGGATCACTTTGTACAAATTACAGTTTGACAACCTTTTGGTGTTCTCTAGGTAAGACCAATACATTCTTGTTGGCAGTAGCAAAGTTTTAAGTACTTGAAAATTTGGCAGCCTATCTGCTGGTGAAAACAAAATGATGGGAAGAAATCACTCTTGCATTGGATTCGCATTCATTTGTCAGGTGCTTTAAGACAACATAGCTTGCAGTCACCCACAAGCATTAAAAAGATAGAGCCCAAGAAGCCAGGAAAGCAACAGAGCCACACACATACCATCTCGCTAACCACCACTGCTGAGTGTAAGCTGTGAGGGGATGAGTTTATGCAGAGTGATAAACAATGCAATCAGGGGCACAGACCCTAGTATATTAATCCTCTCTCTCTCTCTATATATATATATGAGAGATTAGTATTACTTTCTGATATTATAAATATTTGTATATTTAAGCAATTATGCAATGAAATAAAATATTTGAATATTTGTATATTTAAGTTTAGGGAAGTTTTTAATATTTAATGCTGTATTGTTTTTAACACCTGATTGGGAGCCACCCAGAGTGGCTGGGGAAACTCAGCCAGATGGGTGGGGTATAAATAAATTATTATTATTATTATTATTAAGTTTTTTAATTTTTTAAAATGGCAAAAAACTGTTGTTAATGCCACATCAATACAAAATAAATAATAAATAATAATGATGATGATAGTAATAGTAATAGAATTTATATACTGCCCTATACTTCGAGGTCTCAGGGCATTTCACAAAATAAAGAAATAGAAAACCACAAAATACATACTCAAAATAAAAAGAACAATCCAATAACCACCACCCCCATATGAACACTTATACATGCATACAGATCATCCCGTGTACACATTTAGACAGATGATATGAACACTGGGTGCAATGCCTGCACATCTATGTGAAAGTAAGGTCCAGTCAGAGCCCAGCATCCAGCTTCTTGGAACTTCTGGCTCTCAAGAGAAGAAACCTCCTTACAGTCAGGAAATATGTGTCCTAGAAATGAGCACCAGTACTGTGTAGTCTGTGCTTCAGGTGTGAAAGTGTCTAAGGCCAAAACTACAGTCAAGAAAGGGCAGTATAGCTTACGGTTCCCCTCTGAAGGAAGTCGAGTTGTTCTAAATTAAACTCAGAATGCAAGTTAGGGAGTAAAAAGCTTGCTTTGAATCATGTGCTTTAAGATTGCTACACATACCAAGGAAACAAGTAATTCAACAGCCACCCCACATAAAAATACTTTTAAGGATGATCATATATGGAAGCACTCCCACCCCAGGAGGGAACACGACTTGACAGCTGTAAATGAAGGGAGGAAAAAGGCATTTCATCGAGATGAAAGAGAAGCAACAAACAGACCTGGCAAGAGCTCGCAGACAGAGGGTGGGAAGTGGGGAACGGTCAATGCAATCATGACAAAGATGACAATGCAACAGTCCCTCTCTGACCAAAAGGGCTGTAACTATGAAGTCTTTCTATAGCTTCATATTCATGACTCCACAAGCTGTGAATGAGTCATTTAATCAAAATTGTTTGACTAAACCTGTCAGAACAGATGTTAGGATTATTCACAGAATTTAGTTCAAAGCTCAAGTTATTACAAAGGGACTTTCCTGGTGTGGCTGTCTGTCAGTCGTTCCCTACCTCCCACTCTTCTTCCAATTCATGTAACATGAAGGCAACCATTTTGACAACCATTAAGGTCCTGGCTTCATTGCTCATAGGTGAGCCCAGGAAGGTAACTTCTACAGAGTTTCAGCAAGACGCTGCAAGTTGTGGACAGGTCTTCAAATAGAGCAGCCTGACTCAGGTATAAAACAGATACACAGGCTTGCCCTCAGCAGTCATTAGCAGAACATAAGGCAACTCAAACATTTGGGGCCTTTGAAACTTTTGTACGCTTTTATGGCCAGCGGACAAAACAGAAACACTGGAGAAGCTGGAGGTGTACCACTCTGTAGCAGACCTTCCAAGCAGCATCACAGAAGTTCAGCCTCAACAACATGCTGACAAAATGACAGCTGAACTAGTGAGTTTTCTTAAAGCTTGACTCTACCAAAACTGAGAACTTTTTCCTCCTACCCCTTACCATCACTTTCAGTTGTTCTTGATAATACTGATGTTTGTTCACCAAGTTCAGAATCTTTAAAGAACTTGAATACTTGACTTTATTAACATTTTAATTCATTCTTCTGTTTCCTGCACTGATTGGAACATTCTTCTTGTTGGTTTTCCTTCTCTCTTAGCCTTTCCACTCCGACTTCAATCTGGCTGCTTGCTATTTTCGGCTCATATTATTCCTTTGCACCAGTTTCTTCACTGGATCCCCTGACTTTAAAAGTTATTGTACTTGCTTGAAATGTCTCCACAGTTTCCTCCTGTATATCTATCTGCTCTTTTCTTCCTATACACTCCTCCCTGAACTCCACAACTTTCAAGGTACCAATATTCTAACCCAACTAGCTGTTGATCCCTTACCTGTGTTTCCACCCCACCCCACACAGCTACTTTGGAATGCCCAGTGACATCCATTTTAGAATCTCTATAGGACATCTCATTGGCTTCTCAACCCTTGATGGATCCCCTTACCTCCCCGATATCTTTTATTTTAACTTTCTCCAAAGTCGGGATTCAAGTCTCCTTGAAGAGGTGCGATATAAATACATTAAATAGCTAGCTAGCTGTTATGGTATAAGCATACAAGCAGGGCGCGTGCTATGTTTGCTTTTGTAAAGCACCTAGCAATTTTAGATGCTTTATAAAAACAGAGCAAAACCCCAAAATATAGGTTGCAATCTTGTAACCAGGTATGAACTGGCAAAAAGCAGCCATCATCACTCTCTCAGCTTCATATTTTTTTTAACTTTCTGTATTCCCTCCGAGTGTGAAATGGCTTTCTGAACAAAAGCTCTCTTAGAATTTTGCTTTAGCCACTTGTTGACGAGAGCAGAAAGGTAGACAAACAAACCTCTTTGGGGAGGAAAGAAGAAGAAGAAGAAGAAGAAGTTTGGATGTGATATCCCGCTTTATCACTACCCTAAGAAGTCTCAAAGCGGCTAACAATCTCCTTTCCCTTCCTCCCCCACAACAAACACTCTGTGAGGTGAGTGAGGCTGAGACACTTCAGAGAAGTGTGACTAGCCCAAGGTCACCCAGCAGCTGCATGTGGAGGAGCGGGGATGCAAATCCGGTTCACCAGATTATGAGTCTACCGCTCCTAACCACTACACCACATTGGCTCTCTGAGACTGGCTACTGTGTTGTTTTCACATGCTCCCACCAATCACATTTCTGATTACAAGAAGCCAAATCAACAGGGCTTCTCCTGAAACATGTAGAGTGGATGTGGAACAAAGCAATCCCCCATCATGACCACCACAATGAACTGGACCCAGTACCATGTTGTCAATCAATGCAGTTGGAACAGCATTGGGGTGGTATGATCAGAACTACTGTCTGCCTTCCGTCAGAAAAACAATCTCATTGCCATATTCTGAGTCAACTGAAGCTTCCGAACACTTTTCAAGGCAGCCTCAACTAGGGCACAGTACACAATATAATTTGGGTGTAAGTAGAGTAAAGAGTATGAATAACCATGGCCAGGTCTGTTTTCTCCAGAAAGGGAAGCAGCTGACATAATCAACTGAAGAGAGACCCTAACCACTGATGCCACTTTGACATCCCATAGTGGCACTCAGTTCCAAAGGAGTCATACAAGGAAAACTTGATTTTTAAGGGGAAACGCAGCCCTGGCCAAATGTAACTGCAAATCCTTAACTGATTTTACTTCTGTCTTTTCAAGAAGAATCTTTAACCCTCACTGGCTTCAGGTTTGCAGAATCACACTATACACCTTACTGAGTTATAGCATCCAATTATTGAATAGTTAACACATGTTCATTACTTATGCCCCAAGACAAAGCAACAGACTAAATAAGGAAGACTAGCTATCTTCAGCCCATTAACAGTGAAAAGACGGGGGCACCAATGACCTCTCTGCAATAGAAGGTGTGACTTTAGGGCCCCATATGCACTACACATTTAAAGTGGTATCATACCCGTTTAAACAATCATAGGTTCTCCCAAAGAATCCTTGTTATAGGTGGTAAGTGTTGTTAAGAGAGGCCCATTGAAAATTTATGTTTTAAAAAAGAGACAACAAGAGACACACACGCACAACCACGCACAAAAGGAAAAACACACACAAAATCATCCTCACATTCACACCAATGCATTCAGCCTAATTTGCATATACAGATTGATCTATGCCATCCAAATGTCTGTGTATGCATTCAAACAAAATATGCTCAGTTGTAGCAAGGGCATTATGGTATTTAGACCATTGATGGTGAGCATTTACCCTTCTAAGCTCAAAGTATAAGTCACTTAGCAACCATATAAAATCCACTGTTGTCCTGCCACTCGTCCCCATCCTGCAGGGATATAATTTAAAAGGACACTAACACCTGCAAATATCAATGATTTTGCAAGTACAAGATTCATAGGGACAGGAACTTCAGACCAAAAAGGAGATATCACTGGACAATATAATAAATGAGCCTTGCAGCAGGGAGCAGCCCCCATGGCGGCAGCAATGTCATATACCTACAATGAGTTATTTCCAGAATTATAGTTTCAGTATCTACCTGAGGCCTTCTAGCTGATGCGCCCAACCACATTAGAGCCCTGTCCATCCTAGCTTATTAAAGCTAACCAGGGTGGGGTGACTGAACAGGCACAGTACTGCAAGTATCCTATCCACAGGCCATTTTAACTAGAAATGATCCTACACCAACCACACAAATGATGAGGTTTTAAACATTCTGCCTACTTGGGACAATTAAGACCTTTAGGGAGATGCCTCAGTTTCAACACAATGGGTGGTTGCATTACCATAACTCTCCTACTCAGATCAAAGTCCATGTTAAAAAAACACACACTTTATTCTCAATATTTTAAAGGTTCACTTCTCCACCCAACAGCTTTCCTACAAAGCAATACATGTTTCACATTCATGCAAAGTCACTGCCATGGTGGCATGCAACCAGAAAACATGAGTACCTATTTTCCTGGAGTCAAAACAGAAGACAAAGCTACATAGACAGTAAGACACAGAGAGCAAAGATTTGGTGTGTATCTGTTCAGGCAGATATTCCCCCGTTTAAAGTATAAACCTCGTAAGTGGCAGGAGAAACTGTATTTTTAGAATTAGTAAGCACAACAAGCTGCCTTTGATATTCTAATGCAACTTCAAAGTTACAGTATTTCAAAGAGCGAGTCGTCTGCCAAAAAAGAGAGGCCTCACAATGTATGCATTTTGTTTTTTAGATCAGCATAAAGGGAGGGTAAGAGAAAAACTACCCTGAATTGGCACTTGAGTTCTAGGAAGTCAGGCTCATACTGCAGCAACAACTACAATTGTGTCTTACCTCAAGATCACATTCCTCACATTGTGCGTGTTTCAAGAACAGTTTAAAAATACTTGTAAGGAGCAAAAAGCCATAATTGGCTTTGTGCATTGAAAAAATATCAATTTAAGGCTACTGCTTTGGGCACCCTAGTCATTAAACACTGGAACAAAGACCGCTCATATTGACCCACTTTCCCTAACCCAAGTTTTAGAATGGCAAGAAGCTCTCAGGCTTCTATTTTGGGGTGGGGGACTATAGAAAAGCAGCACAAGGCTGCTGGTTTTTTGGCAGGTGTAACTCCTGCAAAAAAAAGGGGGGGAGACTAATTCAGATGTCACAAATTGCTTACATATAAAAGGCTGCGTCTAGGTTCTAATTGCTTTTATATCTTCTGCCCAGCAAAATCCATTAAGTAAATATAATGTGAGGGCATACAAAAGACATGAGGTCAAAGGCTACCTGAACACATTTATTTGAGCCACCAATCACATGGTCTATAGCCATATAGCATCTGGTTTCAAGTCACTGTTAGATTCCCCCTCCAACCCCAATGAAAAGAAAAATGCTTTGTCCCAGAAACAGTGGTACTTGTACAGAAATGAAGCATTTCAGAATAGCAAGTCTAATTAAAGTAGTTGATTAATAGCTGGTTCTTACTATTGATCAATCCTCTGACTAGGGTTCATTATGGACTTTCTCCCCTGAGACTATGCATTCAATTACATGTTGCTCATAAAGATCATCCCTGCTATTGATAATAATTCACCTAATAGAACTCAGGATAAAAAAAGAACACTGGATTAGATTCATAATATTTATAAAAATAGGATACCAGTGAAACAAAATCAGTGTCTATGCCTCACGTCCCACATCCTTTCATAAGCATGATGGTACACCTTGCCAAAGTCACAGGTCAATTATTTCTCAGCTCTAAACACACACACACAGAGAGAGATTCTTGTAAAGCTTTTACTATCTAGGGAACAATTTGTAAAGTACAACCGTTTCATGTAGACAGAAAACAACTAATACTATCCTTACGGTTGCAATTAGCACTGGGAAACCTTGCAGAACTGAAGCAGCAGCAGGTTGAGCGCAGCCAATGGGGCAAACATTGGGAATGAGATCCCCTGTGGTTGGGATACGGTCAAGAATACCCAGACACTTACCCCACCTGCTAACGATTGTAACCCATGGCTAGTTGTAACATCAGCTATCTGCATGCAGCTATCTATGACTGTTCTTATTCTCTCAGTAAAGGCAGGCAAGCACTGCAAAATGCCCCTCATGTCTTTACTTTCCTGGGTATGCTTCCATGTCCAAATCAGAAGCATAGTGTTAAGCCCAAGTCTACCTACCTTAAGGAGAATAGCTCCAGAGCACACATGGGCATATTCAAGTTCATTTTATATGGATGTCTTATCCTTGGTTTCCAATACATATTTATGGGCGTATAATTCTGTGTTTGATTAAATCTAAACAACTGGAACCAGCATTTTATTTTTCAAATACTTGCAAGGCTATTCCAAAAGTTAAGTCCACAAAGTCACTAGGAAACAACATTTTAACAGACCACTTGCCCATGTGCATTTTGCCCAATAACTCGAAGTGCATCACCAACCTACAAAAGGAGGAGGAGAAATCAAGAGACCAAGAACCAATTTCATTCCAGCACATATCACTTTCATCACATCAGTGGACTTTGGGATCTCACATTGCAGTGGCGCCCAGTGCGACACCAAAATTCGCCTCCTCGCGTCTGGTGCTCCATTCTGAATCATGCTTGCGGCATCCCCTGCAGCAGCATCAAGGCTTCATGCCTAGTGTGACCAAACCAGCGGCGCTCCCCTAAATCCACCTCTGCCAACATGGTAGCAATTTCTACCTACTGTGAGCAACCATGCTTGTGCATGGGTAAGTACAGGAGAATCCTCACTTATGTGGGGGCTCCATTCTGGTTCGCACACAAGTGGGTATTCCCCCATTCCAACCCTGCCCCAGTCCATTCTGCCCCACCACCCCCTGCAGCGCTGTTTTCGGTGTGTGTGTCAGTGGGCCCACATATGTCACATGCTGACCGTGAGCAAGTGGGGAGATGCCTGTAGTCAAGAACACTGTCACTCTGTGGGCTAAGATTCAGATTCACACATGCTTAGGGAATTGGGTGCTAACAGAAGCCGGCAACCGTCTTCCTCACCCCATATTTCATTCATGCAAGTGTTTAAAAGCTCTTTCTGTCACTCCTTGCTGCTTCTACATCTACCAACGAAGCAGACCTGACATTTTTCTTGTGGTGCTACAGCTTTTCAGCTACAAGTGGCAGGACCTTTATTTCAATAATCCTTTATTTCAGCATTATTGTTAGTCTGAATGGAATTTCAAAAATGCCAGTCAGGTCAGAGTTTATTCTAACATGCAGAGAGGCATTTTTTTATTTAAAAAAATTACACTTGGGTGGGTGAGGACTGTTCAGTAGGAACTACATTTTTGTGTAGCTGGACATGAGGTTTAATAAAACATGAGGTGGGTGAGAAAATTATAAGAAGTAAAAAGTGAAGAATTTTGTACTGTGTCAAGTCCTCCCCCTGGCACCCTTACTTATACATCTTCTCCAGGCCACTTTCCCCTTCTTTCCCTGTTGCTTACACCTCCTCCCTCTTTCCTCCATTGTCACTTTCCATTTCCTTCCTTCCAAAAAGAGTCCCAGGACTGTTGGCGAGAGTTGTACCAAAATTGTTTTCTGCAGGACAGGGGAAGCTTAGAATAAATGTTTAGCAACTGGTGGTAACATAAAATTTATGACACTCTGATGAAAGCATCTGCCTTCAGATATTTATTCTTGCCTACCAAGAACCAGTCGCGATGAAGTATATTGTGGAAGGACTACCTGGAAACCCATCAGATAGACATTCCATACTTCTGCCATAGTGTCTGTTCTCACAACATAGCCATTCTTTGAAAACCTGTTTTGGCTGGTGCATCTTCTGCAGTATATGCTCTATCAAACTATTTGTGCCAAATGCATGCTTCGAATGTAGCACTACAGAACTTGTTCCATTTAAGAAAGATTTATGCATGTGAAAGGGAACTTTCCCCCTCTTCTCCTACTTTGCAGCCCCTTAATCTGTTACAGGGGTTACCCCAACTCTCCAGAGCAGATCTGGTGAGGGCAGGGAGAACATAAGGGGGAAAGTTCCATTGCTCAAGCATAAATCCTTGCTCTAATTGGGACAAGTGCATTGGATACCAGGAATAGATGAATCGGACAGAAAGATCATTGACTCTTTATGCTCCAACCAGAACAGATTGGTTACTGTTGACCCTTGCTTCTTTTATGCTTTACATTACTGGAGAACAGGTTGTTGTTTTTTAATGACTAAGCATTAGTGGAGAAATTAATATTTATAAAGACTCTGCCTCAACAGTGTGTGGTTAGTTCCCTATGTCATTGTTTGCTGGATCAGACTTTGCTAAAATGATCAGAACCACTGAGATTAAGTTAACAAAAGGTATTAGTACAATGTCTGATGACACTAGAGATAAATACACAAATCAGAGAGATTACTCTAACATCATAGTGACTAGAAGTATACACTGGGAATGAGAGTTGACAAGCAGCTTTATTCTCTTTACTGAATGGTTCCCTCTCCCCATGCTGAGCCACAAATTATACGCTGCCATTAACAGAATGAACAACTGCTCACTAAGAAATTGTGTAAAAACCTTTATGTACTGTAAGCCACACAACAGTCAAAAATACCTTAACCACTTTTTTTCCAAAAGACTGCAAGAAGTTAACAACACACATTGCTGCTGTTAAAGTTCGGGAGCCCACTACTGCTTTGTATTAACCAATGCCCTACTCCCTGAGCAGAAACTCAAGACTTCCTTAGCCAAGTGTGTCTGGTACCATTCCAGATGGGAATGTAAATACCTGCAGTTCAGAGCCAATCACTTTACAGTTATTACAACGTTAACATAATACAAATAAACATGTTTGGTTGGGCTAATGAAGTGTTACAACTGGACAATCTCCAGATGAAGAGTAAACCTATCAAATTTGGAAGTATCTGCATGAAAAAGCTCTAGAAAGTCAGATGTAACCACTGTTATCTATCAAATTCCAGAATAAAAGGAGTAATACTAGGAACTTCAAAAACAAACAAAACTTACACACTTATACACACACACAAGATTTCCAAGAACCATAAATGTATTGGAGAACCAGATGTCTACAAGTAGCCACTATAGGGATGTTTGAGCACTGCGCATGCCATGGGCTTGGGATTTTTTGGAAATATTGGTGCTGAGTGGGCTTCCCCTCCATAACTATATTAAGTAAAGTTCTAGTGCTGATTGGATGGTGTTCAGTGTTGATGCATGTAGGGAAATTTTATCTTGAAAGTTTAAAACTATAAACGTTGACCGCTCAGCTTTGTTTTTATCCACAGCTCCGCAATCAATATAGATCTATGTAAAGTAGTTTGTAGTTACAAAAAGTGAGAGTGGCTCACCATGCCTACTGATTTCAGAGCCATAGACCATTAAGTCTAGACTCCAGGAGTAAGCCAGATGTGAAGCTTGCATTACAAAACTCCACTAAAGACTTTCCTACTTTAAGAGTTCAGGGCACATGAGGGGAATCAGTCAGATAATCAGGAGAAAATTCAGCCCCTTTAATAGCAACAGATGTTTATTAAGATAGTTACTGCTGGGGGCTTTCCAGAAAGGTACTTCCCCTTGAGGGCTCCTGCCCCAACTTATTTTCATTTCTTGTTATTTGCATGAGTAAGTTCCCACATGTGAGTTGTTCTCAGGTTACAGATAACCTGTGTGAAAGCCTTACTGAGGATCTAAAAGTAGAAGAATGAATGGAGAAGAGAATGCAATGCATAGATACACAAGCCTCTGAATACTAGAATGGCTTTCAAAGGGGCGCTTTACTTCAATACAGCTCCAGGGTCATAAGGTTGCCAAGTCATCTCACAAAAATGCCCTGCTGAATATTGGAGCTTATAATAATAGTGATAAACCCAAATCATGTAATAAAAAAAAACAAGGCATCTGGAGCTTCTAAATTTTGGATTTATTTGAAATATAAAATGCCAGTCAACTGCTAGCAAGTACTTATTTCATACTGCATAGTGCAGGCATAGGCAAACTGGGCCCTCCAGATGTTTTGAGACTACAACTCCCACCACCCCTAGCTAACAGGACCAGTGGTCAGGGATGATGGGAGTTGTGGTCCCAAGACATCTGGAGGGCCCAGTTTGCCGATGCCTGTCATAGTGCATTGCCTTCTGGATCACCACTTCCAGGAATGCCCCTTTTAATTACACATACATCTTTTAATTATACATACATACACACTTGCACCTAGCCAGATATAAAACTATAATTGTTAAATCTACAAAGAGATCATTTCCCAGTTGGACTAGGCTTGCTGCCCAGAATGAGTACCACTTTCCAGACCCGGTGTGGACCGTTAGCACATGAGAGGTTTCTACAGCAAGAACTCATAGGAACTGAGACAGGAGGAGATAATGCATTTGTTTGCTATTGCAGGCAGCCCAATTTCCATGAGCAAAGGAGAAGCAATGCTTAACATATAATAAATGCTCCCAAGCTTAACATGTATTTGTTGGTCAAATGAAAGCTTGCCTGTAGCAGCCATACAGCTGGGTATTGGTGCCTCTGAGCTCCAAATTAAACTACTTAGAAGTATTTTAAGAGAAGCTTCTACAGAATATCAAACAGAAGAGAATCCCAAATGCACACTGGTTATTATGTTCACTTTCTTTAAAAGTTATCAGTTTAAATTTTGTGTGTGTGTGTGTGTGTGTGTGTGTGTGTGTAAGCAAGTACTATTTCTGTTGAGACACCTGGTGAGCTGTCAGCTGTGCACTTGTGCCACAGAACTAGCTCTGAGAGGAGTTGTTTGGCACTTTTTTTGCTTTTGGTAAATGAAAGAACACAGAGTTAGCATCTATGAAAGTGCTGTATTGCAGGGGAGTAGACTCTTGGACTGAATGTGGCCTTCCAGGCCATTCTACCTGTGGCCCTCAGGACTCTCCCCATGCCATGCCCCTCCTTAAGTGCTCTGCACCCTCCTTAAGTGTTTTTGCCTGGGTTTAACCTGTTCTTGAACTACAGTTGTGCCTCTTCCCTGGATGAAGGATGAAGGGATGAGGGGTGTAGAAACTTATGACTAGAATGGAGTTGGTTGTCCAAAGGCAAGGGTCACATTCCTTGCTTCACCCAACACTGGATGGAGCTTTGCTGTCTTTTTGGAGAAGCTACCCAAAAGTGTACACACTCCAGCTTTACCTATTGGCCTCTTTAATGATCAAACCCAAAATCAGATCGCTAATGTGTGTAGCCCACTTATTACCTATTTGGAATGGAGAGCTAGAAATTAATCCTTCATTGCAACATGTTGCAATTTGAGCACTTTTAGAGTTGCCAATTTTTGAAAGGGGTAGATGCTTTTGAGCCTTTTTAACAATCGCACAGCAGGCAGAAAAACAACAGCAACTTTCCCCATCGCTGTACTTTCCATAAGGTACAAATTTACCTGTTGATTTCTGCCATTTGTGCAGCTGTCACAATGTTTAGTCTTCACCCTCTACCCCTCCCCCTTTCGACAATGCCCCCTCCACCTTCCTCACCCACTTCTGCTTCACCTTCCAAATCACCACTGGACAATTCCTGCAAGAGGTTTGTTGTCTAGGATAAGGAACTCATTGTAGCACATCTCTCACTCCTATGCATCCAGGACACGCAGTAAGGACAGCAACTGCTATCCAAGCACACCGATTCTCTCCACACACACTGCACTTTTTAAAAGGCTGTTTCAACACATTGTTAACCAAGAGGCAAATTCAGCTCCTTCCATACTGCGACATTCCAGATGGGAGAAGGTACAGAGTATTATGCCCTTGCTTAATAAAGGTCAGTGGAAGGCAAGCCTCTTGACAGCTTGATCTTCCTTAAGTATACCATGAAGAAGTGGGGAAGAAGAGGAGGATTGTTTTTCCTGCTCCCTTCTCTCCAACAGCAGGTTTGCTGTAATTATAGGGCATGAAACCAAACTATTAAAGCACTGACAGCTGTCACCCTGTAGCTGGAGGAGTGCTGTGGCTGTGCATAAAGGATAAACACTGCTATCTGTATGAAGGAAGTCTACAATCGAGTGCTTGGCCCATCCAGCACACAGGTATGTGCGCTGAGGTCCCATTTAGTTGAGTGGCAGCCAAGCATATTTTGGGTGCTCTCTCTCACTCTGTTATTTGTTCAGTCGTTTGGTGCAAATTATCCCATTTGCGCAAATATGGCATACTCAACTCACTCCCTTCACAGCTTCCAAGCTTTGCTAGCAGAAAATCAATTCCAATGTATCCTTTCAGATATAACAAACTCTTACATGTTTTGAAATAGCTCGAGCTTTCTCAAATTCATAAAACTGTTTAAAATATCACTGCAAAGTCAAACTTAGCTTTGAGAGCTCATCAGGACACCTATTTAAAGCTATGTTGCTCATCCAAGCTCTAACCCTCACCCCTACAGATTTACCTCCCAAACTGGTGAGGATCGTCCAAAAAACCCAATGTGCAGTTCTGTAGACAAAAATGGCATTCTCTTGTTATCGCTCTTTATCAATTCCCATCTAACAAACAAAAGACCCTTTTCAAGAAGGCAGGATCTCCAAACCTCTTGGGTTGCAGCTTAAAGTAGTAGTGGAAGGACATGCTTGAGTTAACTACAAAATGAATGGAATGCAGCATGCCAGGGAGTTACCAGATTAACCCCAAAGGGAAGTGGTCTGACTATATAGTGCCATTTTACTACCCTGACTCGCTAGAAAAATTTGTGTTTTCATACTGAAAAACTGAAACTATCTTAATATAGCTACAAACTTTTGAAATTGATGCACAGACATGTCACTGGCAATACCCATTACAACACATACCTGTTTATAGAGCTAACGTGGTGTTCGCACGTGAATTTACAGCCATCACTTGCCAGAGGCTCATAGGCTCTACAAAGGGGATTTAGTTGTCATTAAAAAAACAAAGAGTCAACAGATTTGATTTCTACCACTCATTGTTCTAAGCATCCCTTCCTGCCTTTGGTGAGTTCCAGGTCTCTTTACAGCCGGAAAGGGGAATGTTCCCAGTACACTTTATAGAGCAGAGGTCAGCAAACGTACCACACCTCAGGCCGGTGTTTCCAGCGCCGATCACGCGGGGGAGCGCGTGTGCACACGCTATTTCCAGTGCACTTCCAGGTCAGAGGAGCACCAGAACTAGCATGTGCACAGGCCTCCTCTGACCCGATGTGCACCAGAAATAATGCTTGCACATGCACCCAAGCCATTTCCAGTATTCCTCCGACCCAGAAGCGGGCAGCCGCACAGCGCAGCGCTGGTAAGAGCAGGTGGTGGCAGTGGGCCGCGGGGGTTACCGCGGACCAGATAAACGAGTCCCTTGGGCCTTATCCGGCCCGCAAGCCTTAGTTTGGGGACCCCAGTTATAGAGGCTCCACGTTCCTCAGAAGCAGTGTGAAAATTCAGCGGCAATCCACCACTTCACTGCCCATCTCCAACTGGGAATAAGGCTGCACCTCATCCATTCATCTTTAGAACATTTCTAATTTACCCTTCATCATAACTGATTTCAATGAGACATAATACAATTGAAACTCATCGCCATTACACAATAAGAAATTCACTTAAAAGCAAGACACATAAATATAATTAGTGGGTGGAGTGCAGAGGTGCCGCAACTCACCACGAACACCTCCCTTGCTCTCTTAGAATAGCAGTGGCACCCACCTGAGTTCCAGCAAGTTCCGGCTGGAAAAAAAGCCCTGAGTGGGTGTATGAAATGAGTATTATCCACTTCTGTGCAGAAAATACCTCAATTTAAAGTTACCTCACACACAATTCACTCCATGATTGTTATAATTTGCTGGCTGTAAATATAAGGCTGGTGCCGCCCCCTACATACAAGAAAAATATTCTCTGATCTTTCAAGTGGCACAGTCTGTAGCAGTAAACATGGATCTCTTTCAAACTCTGAGCCCTCTGGTGCTATCTAGTTAGCAAACTCTCCCCCAAGCATTACCACATCGTTATTTGGTGCTGTTGCAGTTATCTGCGTAAGTTGCAATCCAAACTTCTGTTTTGTTTGTTTAAATGACAATCACTCAGTCCTTCTGATACAGGGTTTTAAAGCTTCCTTTCAAGAGGCATGGATTGCAACCAAAAACCTCCACTGATATTTTTAGCTAAGTTTTAACAAGCTTTAACCACTTCCTTTACCCCATCGCAACAAACCTGTTCAAAAAACAATGCAAAGTTTCAAAACTGCCTGCTTTTTAGAAGGCCCCTTAAAGAAGAGGTCACTACTTCTGCAAGACACGAGGGCATCTTGTGCTCCTTGAAGGAAATATATAAACATAGCAAGATCAATAAGACAGATTCCACTCCTGATTGAACATCATTACTGAAGCTGGCAAACCGGGAGCTCTTAAATTGATGAATATATTAAGCTACCTTATTTAAACATGGGTCCATCTTGAAACAGCTCTCATGCAGCCCAGCTGTCCAAGAACCTGGAGCCTCCTACACAGACAGAGCCTGTGTGTTCCAGATAGTTCATCTGGAATATGAGGCTCCCAGAAGCAGTTCTGCAACAAATGTAACAGTATGATTGTGATAGCCAAGAAACATGGATATCCCTTGGAATCAGGCAATATACAGTGTGAAAGTATGGTAGGTGTTAACTGCCATTCTCTAATCAAGAAATCCATGATGTCTTGTGGCTATTGCTTAACCAGAAGAGCCTCTGGTTTGGGGGGACACACACTATTTTGACCCCTTTCGGCTTTTAGTCTAGTCACGTGGCACCGTGATATACCAATATATCACAATGTCTGAAATAAGAATGGAGTTGTATAGAGGCATTGACTGGTTTCATGGTTTTTCCCACATCGTGATTTTTGCAAAGTGCGCGCTTACACACACACACACACACAATGATTTGTGATATATTGCCAGGTCAAAAATTATGCAACTGATATCACAATATGGACTTCTAACCAGTTTTGGACAATATATCAATATATCGCCCAGCCCCAATATACATTACCACCTGCTTCAGAAATAGAAGTAAATTGTATCTTATCTGGATAGTCTAAGCTGGAACACCAGTAACAGTGACTCTGGTCAAAATAGTGTGTCAAAACAAACACATGCTTTATAAAAGAGGAATTTTACCTATTTAGGATTTGTTGGTTTGCCACATCATGAGAAGAGAAGACTCCCTGGAAAAGACCCTGATGTTGGGAAAGATTGAGGGCACAAGGAGAAGGGGACGACAGAGGACGAGATTCAGATTCACTATCACTGGGGATATTAAATTAACTAGAGCTAATCAGCAGAGTGCACAACAATGAGCTTTTATTATTTATTTATTTCCCACCCTTTGCTGCAAGGTCTCAGGGCAGGTTACATAAACTTTAAAAAATCAAAACAAGTTTAAAAACTTTTCTTTAACTGCTGTTCTACACATGCAATTTAAAGAAAAATCAAACATGAAGCAACACATTTCTAACATTTTGTATACACAGACAAGTGTACTTTTGGAATATTGCTTCTAATTAATAGCTACAAACTGTTCAATTTAAGCCTAAATGAACTAGGAAGCAAGCAACTGTTTGCAGTTTCCCCTTTTTTTTAAAAAAAAAAAGAACAGTTGAGGATCCACTAACCCCTATTCCTTTGGGTACAGAAACTCAGAAAGTTAAGAGGGTTAAGTGGGAAGAAAATGCAGGGTATATTGTGACAAACCGGTGCACGACAGCTGGGGGAAAGCTCTGCAGCAGCTGCATGCATTCTATAACATAACCAACACCACAAAGCAACTTATCCCTACCTTATCCCAGGCTAAAGCAAAGAGTCTATTCAGGTTGCTTTTCCAAGCAATTTGCTGGGATTTGGATATTCAAGAACACCAGTGGCTAATTGCATCTCAGGCAGCTTTGCACTTAGCCCCTCAGATTGAAATAGCTACCCTGATCTCAGTTGTGCTTAATTCAGGTTGTTCTGGGAATGGAGGAACACTTCCTCCCCTTGGATCAAATTGGAGGTGCACTCTGCTCTTGCAGATTTGACAGGGGATATCCAAAATCAGCCATACTCAGGAATAGATCCTTCGGAATCTACGAAAGCAACAAACTTAAGCGACTTGTTTTTTTTATGGTTCTGCTCAGAGCATGTCTTAGTTGCATACCGCCTAGTGGTCATGGGAATTTTTCCAAAGTAAATATTCCCAAGAAAATAAACAAGAAAATAAATGTGCCTATTACAGAAGAAGCATCCAAGAACACTTCTTCCATTTCTGGTAGACCTGGTGACTGTGGGGCAGTGAGGTGTGAGCAGACCTGCCTCTTGAGAAACTGGTTGTTGCCAGGTCTATTCCTCCATTGTTTCGCAGCAGGCAGACCTGCTGTCTATGCATGACCATCCAGATTATATATTTCCACCTGCTATTTTTTGTTTGTTTGTTTGTTCCCCAGGCTCCCTGCACCCTCCTTCCCTAGCCTTAAGTGCACTGCTGCTGCAATCAATGTTACTGCCCCTCCAACAACATTTCTCTAGAACACACACAAGACAGGGTAATGCTGGATTACACTTCAGGGTTGTTGTGAATATGGACATGGTTTTTGGTTATTTTGTAGAAGGCAAAGTTGCAGAAGGCATTCTGCACTCCAGCGGGTGCAGAATGCCACTGCGAGACTCCTTACAGGGTCCTCGCTGCGGGATCACATTCACCCGGTGCTATACCAGCTGCACTGGCTCCCGGTGGAGTACAGGATCAGGTTTAAGGTGCCGGTTTTAACCTTTAAACCCCTATACGGCCTAGGACCCTCGTACCTACGGGACCGCCTCTCCTGGTATGTCCCACAGAGGAACTTACAGTCTTTAAACAAAAACATCCTGAAGGTCCCAGGCCACAGAGAGGTTAGGCTGGCCTCAACTACAGCCAGGGCTTTTTCGCCTGTGGCTCCAATCTGGTGGAACGCTCTGTCGCAAGAGACTAGGGCCCTGTGGGACTTGACATCTTTCTGCAGTAAGGACAGCAACTGCAAAGCCCCACCTTCTGCAATATGGGCATAATAAAGATGGACTTTATCTGCATTGGCACTAGCAGGACAATTTTAAATCTTCGGGGGGGGGGGGGAATTGCTATGAAATAAATGCAGGCCAACAGTCCATCTGGCCCAGCATCCTGGCCAACACGATGCCTGTGGAAATGCACAAGCAGGACCTGAGCACAAGTGCATTCTCCCCTGCTGTGGTTTCCAGCAAATGGTATTCAGAAGCATTGCTGCCTCCAAAGTATAGCTAGTAACCACTGACAGCCTTATCCTCCATGAATTTATCCAGTCTTCTTTTAAAGCCATCCATGTTGGTGGCCACCACTGCATCCTGTGGAAGTGAGTTCCACAGTTTAACTATGTGCTGTGTGAAGAAGTACTTTCTTCTACCTGCCCTGAATCCTTCGACATTCATCTTCACTGGATGCCCCCCATGAGTTCTACTGTTAGGAGAGAGGGAGAAAAGCTTCTTCATGCGATGCAGAATTCTATACAGTGGTACCTCAGGTTACAGACGCTTCAGGTTACAGACTCCGCTAACCCAGAAATAGTACCTCGGGTTAAGAACTTTGCTTCAGGATGAGAACAGAAATCGCACAGCAGCTGCACAGCGGCAGGAGGAGGCCCCATTAGCTAAAGTGGTGCTTCAGGTTAAGAATGGACCTCCGGAATGAATTAAGTTCTTAACCCAAGGTACCACTGTACACTTCTGTCTAAACTGAAACGCCCCAAATGCTGCACCCTTTCCTCAAAGTGGGGTTGCTCCACCCCCTTATCATTTTGGCTGGCCTTTTCTGAAGGAAACTGCCTCCCCATTGCAGATATCTGTCTCTCTTGGAAGTATTTGCCTTTGGAGAAATCTATTTCCTGGATTTCCTTCTAAGTCATTGCTTTAGGTCAGTTTCATCCCTTATTCCAGTCAGGATCTTTGCAGCCACAAAGAGCACAATTTCCTTTTCGGGTGGGGTATTTTGAACTCAGAAGAAAAGCACATTTACTCAGACATAAATCCTACTTCACTCAGTAAAGCTTGCCTCCCAAGTAAGAGTGCATTGAATTCCAGGCTTAATTTCTTACAGTATGTCAGTGGTGTAACCAATTTGGAAATTACAGAGTTCAAAGGATCTATACCACTTACTGCAGAAGTAGCTGCACCTCTTATGAGAAATGTTATGCAGATCCAGTGGGAGTGCCCAAAGTCTCAAGTGCAATCAATTACTGCACCTGTGGAACTGAATATGATCAATGACCTACGCCTACAGAAGCCTTCCCCAACAAGGTGCCCTTCAAATGCTTTGAACTACAACTCCCAGCCAGTATGAGCAATAGTCAGGAATGATGTGAGTTGAATCTGGAGGGTGTAGAGATCTCCTGCATGCCGAAAAAGCATGCTATGAACTAAGTGCTATATTAACTTTAAACAGATAAAGCTAAGCCAAGTGATGCTGCTAGTACTTTTCCTTACTGCTCCAACAATTAAGCAGTAATCAATCACTGAGATTATCCTGCAGGAGCATTGTTAGTTGCTCCAAGAGTTGGCAAGGCTCATTTGACAACAACAAGAAACCAAACCATTAGTGGTGTCATCAGCCCAGTCCTATAGAATACTCTGCCAAAAGAGATTCAGTGGGTGCGTTCTGAGCCAAGTTTTAAATGCCTGCTGAAAACTTTTCTATTTCATCAGGCTCATACAGGCAATCTTTCCACAACAGTTAGCTGATTTCTGATTTTAACTTCTAATATAGTTGTTGTATGGTGCCATGCACAATTGCTGAAAGCCACTGACATTTTTAAACGAATAGTGAAATATAATTATTTAAATAAATAAATACATAAAGCAATGGAAGCTGCTGTTTGTTACAGCTATGACTATATGAATTTCATATATTCACATTTCATCTTCTTGCTGCTTCAATCCATAACAAAAAATGAACGAGAATGAGAACTTCAGTCTAGTATGACCAGGACAGACTAGAAGATGAGGATGTGGCACTGATACACTCATAGTGGAATGCTGCACAGGGGCATGGCAGCAATGAAAATCTGCAGTTGACGCAAAGTTTCATATATTAAAACCTAAAACAACACCTGCCTCTGAATCCAGCAGCAAGCTACATCTACTCCCAATGGCAAGACACTCTTTGCACTGTTAAGAGGTCACACTGTGGATCTGGACACCGCTCAGCAAGTGCCAAGTTTTATACACTCCTGGGATGTTTCACACAATTAGTTCATTCTTGTCTTCCCTGCCAGAAAGATGACAGTGTCTCTTTCCTCCCTCCCCTCCCAGCTCTTGCTACAGAAAGGAACTGGGGTTAGTTTGTACAGTAGTGATAACTTTATCTAGCCCCGGAGAGACCCTGGCTTACAGTTAGAAGAACTAAATGAATGTTTATAGTGGTTACAGCATCAATTATGAAGAGACTTGCTACTTGGACAATGAATGCATTGTGAAATGCTTGGCATGATTAAGGGTACCATGAACACCCCCCCCCAAAAAAAATGATCTAGATTTTTCTGCTGTTACTATGAAGCCACTGTCCAGGCTGACTAACCTTACAACGTTTAAGAAAGTCAGTTTTGATTGCTGCAGCAGAGGGTGAAGGCGTTTGTAAAATAAGCTTGGCTGAGTAGTCGCAACACAACACTCAGCTTGTGTAGCTTTAGTCCACAGTGATGCATTGCTATAAAAGGCAGTTGCCGATGACAGGTACAGTTGTTGTGCTACTACTATGCAGTGTGGACAAAGATTGCCACCAATGCAAGCACAGCTGCACTTTCACAGCAGCCAGCTTTCAGAAGAGAGTTCTGTATGCACTGCAAAGCAATTTCAAGGCACAGGGCTTTATGAAAGCCATGATACTCCTGCAGCCGAGCACCTAGGTTAAGCCCCCCAAATCCCACTGTAGATGGGCTGTGTTATCTGGCAAAGGTTGTGCAAGTACATCTGAGGATTCACTAGCGCGTTATATCAGACCTTTATCATTACTCACAGGGTTTCACATGCAATGAAAGCAGCAGCCTTACTAAGCATTGCCCAAGAGCAAAGTAGAACATTTTGCCACTGTGTATGTTCCCCTTGTACCACAGCAACATGAAATCACACATCAACTTGCACTAAGTGCTATGCAAGTTACATCAAAAGTAGAACTAGAAATGTTCTATTTTGCCTCAAGCCTAGACAAAGCAAACTGAGTTTAGAGTACTTTAATTGGCTATGGTGAGCAAAACTTATTTGAAGTCAATTAAGATGTTTGCCTGAACAAAACTTTCGGGAAATCTTCACATAGCTGATTAGAGCATATTCGGAAACCCAATACACACATTTTAGCTCACCATTAAAAAAAATAAGATACAGAATAGCTCACTTATTCCTCATTTCTATCTAGAAAGCAACTCAGATTGCTTTTGACTCTGTGTTGCCCGAGTGAAATCTAATGAGCAGTATCAGCTCATCAGCATCAGGAATTTAAAGTCAATCGTTAAATCCAGCTGCTCTGATCTCATCTAAAGTCACATGTACTTTGCTAAATGCAGGTATGTAGATTTAGATATTTTAATGGCACAACAGTGGAGGCTTACTGCACTAAATTTTGGAGTATGATTCTATGTACTCTTTTGGCCTCACTGTGTCAAAAACCAACTTTGGAAACCAAGTGATGCATCTAGCCCACAAAAGCTTGCATCCCTGCTAGCCTTAATGGTGCCATAAAACCAAAGTTGTTTTGGCCACAGCAGACTGACATGCCCACCCGTCTGGAATGTAAAACTACACAGGGGGATATATAGCCATAGTCAGCATCCAGACAGTACTATCTATGGAAACTATACAAAGTCTGAATGGTAATCTGTCAACTGTAGCTTCAGCCATGCAGGGATAAACTAATTATCTCCATCCACTGGCAAATATCCACCAATAAGCCGCACAAAATGGGATTACAATTATTCTAAACCCAGCATTTCAGAAAAGGCAAGCTATTCAGGTCTTTGCTACCATACAACAGCAGTAGAAGACAGCAGATATTCAAACTGATGAACAAACCCAACATTATGTGTAGATGACCATAAACAGCCCTTTAACTCAAAGCAGGGCTGTAAATGGATACTTTTATGGCTGCACTTTGGCTTCCATTTTTTTCTCCGTCAGTCAAAATGAAATCAGAAGAGAGTCACAACACAGCAACCGTCAGATACATTTCAATTCTGAGTGTGCTTACTCAAAAGTAAGTACCACTGTGTTCAATGGAATCGACCCAGTAAAATTTGCATAGTCTTGCAGGCTTAAACAGAAGTTCATTATTTCAAATCCTAGATAAAGACAAGTTTGGGGGTGCATTTTATACATTCCATGAACTAATCTAACAGTTTTCCCATCTTCAGAATGCGGCCGTGCAAGCAATAGGCTTCAATTTATCTTTCAAAGGGGCTGTGGAATTCGTCATTAATATGCCAGTTGAGTTAGAGACAGTGAAAGACATATGCAAATAGTATGAAGTGCCTGATGGCTGCCCTGAACTAATAGTCACAAATTTTGTGCTCCAAGTGCAAAGCTGCACAGATTCAACCTGTCTTTTCCATATCCATCTATTGCAAAATGAGCTAAATACGATACAGAATCTAATATTTCTACTACCTCTTCCAAGCATATACAAATCATGCTTCCCAAGCATTCACAATTCCCAACAATGCCAGGTCACCTTAGCTGAAACTCAGCTTTTCTGTGCACAACCACCAGACCACCACCCTCCTTCCCATCCCCTCTACTGCAACATAACTTCAGCTGCCTTATACTGCCTATATAACAAGAATTTTATTTCCTGTCCCTAGTTTACCCTCAACATATGCACACAGTTATTTTGCAAGCTCCTTTGAGGTTTTACTGCGACCAAGGAGCATATGAATGTTCTGAAACAAATAATAAAAATAAAATACACACAAAAGACATCCTGAAATTGTTACTTTGGTAAGAGACCATTTTCCTCCCACTTCAACACATAAACGTGGAAGGCACACTTCAATTCAAGGTCCTCGTGCCCTACAGGGCTTGGGTACGCGGAACAAGAGCAGTCAATCTCCTCATCCATTCAGAGCCTTAAGCAAACATTACATCAAGGCTGAAAACCTTAAATAAACATTGCATCAAGGGCTTTTTTTATGTAAGTGTTCGGCCTTTTTTCCCTCCGTTTCCTTTTAAGCAGCGGCTTCCACTTTATCACAAAGTATTTTCCTACTTATATGCCCTCAAGCAGATGCCGATACTCTCCTACGCAAATAATACGTACTTTAGAGCTCAATAAGCATTACCTCTTTAGGAGAGGTTACCTGGGCAGAGGTAACGCGCCCGTCACCTGCCAGAAGCGGGATTAAGAAGGAAGAGAGCTTCTTAACGCATCGCCTTTGCTTGGAAGGATTTTGTTCCATCAAGTATGATGTAAGCAAAAAGTCAAAACATCTTTGAACACACGCCAAAGCTCATTGGCTGCCAACGCGGCCGGTTCCCAGACAGCGCTTAAAGGAACATACCTGTTGCAAAGCAAATTCCTGGAAAGGCATCCGAGAGCAGAGATTTCGCGCCGACAGAGCCTGAAGCTACGGGAAGCAGCCTCGGTGGCCGGTGGGCTTCCTCGGAAGTAAACCCCGCCGAGTTTGGGGGGCACTTATTCAAGGAAGGCGCACGCGGCAGCGCCCAGGGGACGGACCCACATCCAGTCCGAGATCGCAGAGCCGCGCGGAAGCAACGGGCAGAAAAACGTCTCGCAGAACACGGCCGCCCCGTCGAAGTTGGCGCGGGGAGCAGGACCCAACCAGCGGCACACACACACACACACACCCCCGGCTGTGCGAGCTCCCAGGCCCCAGGAGCAGCGTCGCCGTCAAGCCAGCGGGCAACCCCTCCCTTCGCCCCCAGCCACCCCGTCCAGGCTCCTCTGGCCCCGAGCAGCGCCACAGGCCTCCCCGGGCAGGAGGCGAGAGGAGCTTCGCCCCTCCCAGCAGCGTCTCCCGTCCAGGCGCGCGCAGGCTCCCCACACGCCCCAAGGGGGCCCCCACCCTGCAGGCAGCCCCGCGGAGGAAGGGGAGGGGGCTTCGGCCGCCTGACGGGGCCGCCGCCGCCGCCGCCCCACCCTGGCGAAGCACAGCAAGAGGCGCCGCCGCCCCCCCCCGCAGGCCCCTCACCTGGATGAACTGGATGGTGAGCGCGGACTTGCCCACTCCGCCGCCGCCCACCACCACCAGACGGTACTTTTCCTGCCCCGGGCCGTCCCGGCAGCCCGCGGCCATCGAGGAGGAGCCCAGGCCAGGCGAAGGCGAGCAAGGGGCGCCGCGGGCACCTCCCGGCCCGGGCTAGGGGGTCGCTGGCCGCCGCCTCGCCGCTCCGGGGGCTGCCACCGCCACAGGCCCAGCGAGGGGGGACTCCGGCCAAGGGAGGCGCGAGCGAGGAGCCCAGGCGGCGGCAGCGGCTCGGGGGCAGCTGCCAGCTGCAGGCTCCTCCTTTTCGGCGCGGCAGCTGCGAGCAGAGTGAAAGCGGCAGCAGCCCCGCTCCGGCTACAAATGGCCGTCAGGAGGTGGGCGCCGGCATGCAAATAGATTTATGAATATGCATGAGCTGGGCGGGAGCTTCTCCCTTCGCCAAGCGGGGCAGCCGGCGCCTGGCGAGCGCGGTCTTGCTTACACACCGAGGCAGGCGGGGGGGGGGGGCTCTCACACGCGCGCGTCCCCTTTCTCAGTCTCCGCCTCCCCCGCGCCTCAAATTCCCGCCGTGAGTTTTTTGCTGAAGGGACTTGCATTTTTTATATTTCGGGGTTGTTTTTTTAGAAGTTGCTGTTGCAAAGAGAGAGCTCCTATGTTTTGCTGTGAGAACCGCTTTGCACATCGTTTCGGTCAAGGAGAACACTCCGGTTTTTCGGATGCGTTGAAGTCGGCGGCGAGCCTCGCGTCAGTCAGCAAAGATTCCGTTTGCAACCCTCGGCCACGCAAACGCAAGAAGTGTTTGAGCCCCTTGGGAGAAATGGATTTAAGTGTGCTCTACAGTGTCACGAAACTCAAGGAGCATGGCAACGATGGTCCTGACAGTGCAGGAGGGTCAGGACCCCCCAGGGCATCACTGCTTGGAGCCGCATAGCCAAGGAGTTCTTCAGGCTCCGATTCCTGCCAGCCCACTTGACCACTACAGCCCTTGGCATGCCCCCCCCATAGCCAGTCACCGTGACTATCTCTCTGGCACCATGCACCTATGGCAACAGAGCTGGCCTTTGAATGAAGCAACATGAAGCAGTCTGCTTCAGGCTGCAAGATCCACAGGGACAGCAGATTCAACCCCCCAATGGATCGCCCGCTGCTACTGCCAGAGAAGAAAGGAGAAGGGGCAGCTTCCGGGTTCCGGCGAGACCTTGTGGGGCTTTTGCAAGATCTCACTGGAAGCTGTCGCCACAACCAGTTCTCCAGCATTGCCACAGGTGCCCCACCATCACTGGAGAAGTGAGAAGAAATGGCTGCAGTGGCTTCTGGTGAGAACCCTGCCTCTCACATGCCTCTTGCAAGACTTTGCCAGAACCTGGAAGTCTCAGGTGGCAAAATGAGACAGACTGTATGGCAACCCCCTTCCATTCATGCTGCCTCTCTCCCACCCAGCTGCTTGCCTCCACCATGCCCCCAGTGCAGCTTTCCCCATTCCCTCTCCACCCATTGGCTCCCCCAACTGAACCTTCACAGCTCACTAGCTGTTCCCTCACACTTGTCTGCCCCTCTGGCACCTACTCTTGAAATCCAACAGAGACAGGCTTCCAGATCTTCCTTGATTGAAAATGGGTTTGGCTTCTCTCTTGGACTCCCCATCTTGCACCCAGAGGTGAGTGTGCTGTGCTCCTGCAGCCCATGACCCTGAACAGATGGCCAGTGCGATCATCTCAGCTGGTACAGAGCACTTCTTAAGGGGAAGCAAGAACCTCACTTCTCCTTTCCCTTTCCCTTCCAGCCATCTGTGAATTTCATGCAATATTAGCAAAGGTGTTTCACTAGAAAGGGTGCTATGACATGAGTAAAAGACCAAAGACAGCCCCTTTCTGCAGCATTCAAAGGGCATTTGATGCACTGTACAGTAATTCCATGTATTCTCACAAACCTCTCTATGTTGGTGATCTAGTAATTCATAAAGCACGATTGGACACACAGCTCTGTTAGTCTGCCCTTCTTGCCTGACACTGCGTAACTGCTGTGGTGATAACAATGCACAGCACACCGTTACAAGACCAGGCCAGCTGAGTTATTTTGGCATCTGAGGTAGGAAATTCCACAAGCACCTTTCCCTCCCTCCCCAACGTAAAAAATACAATAATAATATTTCATTGCTGTTTCATGACACCCAGAATCAGCTACTTGCAGTGACCATCTCACTCTCCTTCATGGTAGGACTGCCGCTGCATAAAACCACACATAAGGTGACAACCCTTTGGCACAGTGGCTTCTAAACCTTTTCACTCATGGACCACTTGAAAATTGCTGAGGGTCTTGATGGACCACAACGATTTTTCTGCCTCTTCTAATGTGTGATGCTAGGGGCTGCATGATTTTAAATTGTATTTTCACATACTTGTGCTAAAGCAGGCTTCTCCTTAAAAAAGCTCCTGGCACAACAAACCAGTTACACTGTAAGACATCACAGCATCCCGGGTCCCTCTCCCCCACTCCACAATCATTACTCTTATTAAAAGTTCAGTTACTTCAGGGAGAGTCATATCTGGCTTAGACAGGAATGTCAGAGGCTTGGTAACTGCAACAGCATGCAAAGCACAGCATGCGCAACCACTGGTAAGTCTGCAGCACAACTGAATTTTTACACACTGATGTCAGCAGCATAACAAATGAATCAGTTGTCACCTTTGATGTTACCACAATAATGGGAAATCAACTCATCATTAGCAATGAAGTCTTCAGTGTATACTAGTGACACCGCCAGCTTTTCCAGCAGTAGATCGTATCTCAGTGATTGATGGTTACTTAGAAAAACACACCCCAGGTCTTTATTTTCTGTGGGGTTTTTTTTAATTCCTGGGCTCAACACCTTTATGAAACTACACTTTATCATATTCAGGTAGGATAATAATCCACAGAGTTTCTCTGGGGGTCATGGATGTGGTTTGCTGATTTATTTTCTTAAGGTCTGGTCCAAACCCCAAATCCGGTGGGCTGGAAGGTGTTAAGATGTGGCACATCTTCCCACCAGCTGAGAAGAGCCTCATCAGAGCAAATATCACCTTCTGGCAGAAGCCCACCAGACAAAACCACACCTGCTGGAGATCTTCCTGGCATAACTTCCCCCAAAGGACCATGCTGGGGACAAAGATGACTCAGGATACAAAGAGTTATTGACATATGGGGTTGTTGATTTATCTTCTTCATTTCCCTCCCCTGACCCACCATCTTATTTTTGTCTACCTCCCCATAAATGTAGCCATGTACATTTATTTCTGGGAGGTTTCTTTTGAGAGCTCTTTAATGGATATGTATGTCACTTTCTGTCTCTGTCTTCAAAATGGAGTGACTTGAGCCCTGAAAATTAATAGCTACAAATAAAATAAATAAATACACTGCCAATAATGTTGTGGTGCCTGGTGACATGAACAACTCCTTATATCACTTTCACGGTTAGTTTTTAAAGGCATTTTATAAAGAGAGCAACTTATTGGTTGGTTGGCATCCATATCGGCCTCCGCAGAGAGTAACAGTTGCTTGTGAAAATACAAGCTGTTTCATCCTTGTTTTTGTAAGCAACTGACAATGAGCTAAAACCACAGCGGCAGCTAAAAAAGCCAATGCAATTCTGGGCTGCATCAATAGAAGTATAGCATCTAGATCAAGGGAAGTAATAGTGCCACTGTATTCTGCTCTGGTCAGACCTCACCTGGAGTACTGTGTCCAGTTCTGGGCACCACAGTTCAAGAAGGACACTGACAAACTGGAACGTGTCCAGAGGAGGGCAACCAAAATGGTCAAAGGCCTGGAAACGATGCCTTATGAGGAACGGCTAAGGGAGCTGGGCATGTTTAGCCTGGAGAAGAGGAGCTTAAGGGGTGATATGATAGCCATGTTCAAATATAGAAAAGGATGTCACATAGAGGAAGGAGAAAGGTTGTTTTCTGCTGCTCCAGAGAAGCGGACACGGAGCAATGGATCCAAACTACAAGAAAGAAGATTCCACCTAAACATTAGGAAGAACTTCCTGACAGTAAGAGCTGTTCGACAGTGGAATTTGCTGCCAAGGAGTGTGGTGGAGTCTCCTTCTTTGGAGGTCTTTAAGCAGAGGCTTGACAACCATATGTCAGGAGTGCTCTGATGGTGTTTCCTGCTTGGCAGGGGGTTGGACTCGATGGCCCTTGTGGTCTCTTCCAACCCTATGATTCTATGATTCTATGAAAACCATACTTTACTGAGGCAATGACAAATGACGGATCAATGTTGTGCTGGGCATGCTGGCATGCTGACTTCAGATCTTCAAATCCATCCCCAGAAAGGAGGGACCCTAAGCAGGTCAACTAGGCATGTGTGTGTATTCAGCATCTGCCCACCTGTTTAACTATCAAACAGAAGTGTGGGTGCTTTTTATCTCAAAGAAGGATGCAGGTGAGGAGAGAAAAATCTGCTCCCTCCCATCCCTGCTGAATCCAGCCAATCAGAGGCAGTTTTAGGGTAGCGCTGCCTGTTTGGCCACACTGGGCCCCATGTTGCAGGGGGTGCCACAACAGTGCTGTTGTCAGGCTTCAGGAAATCTGATCCCTCCCCCTCACGGCAGGCTGCCAGTAATAGAAAGAAGAAGCTCTTACCAATGTCTTTTATTCAATGTTCACAGAGAGAAGCTTAGAAATGTCGCCTCTTGGGGTAATGGCGTTGCTCCAAGTAATCTCCCCCCCCCCTTCCCTCTCAGTTGTCAAGAGCACCCTTCCGGTGGCTGCTTAAGGCCATTTGCCTTTTAGTTTTCTGCTCCACCACTTTCACTGTTCTCCGGGTCCTGGGAAAAGCGGGGTTTGGAATGCTTTCTAATGATAACGTGTCAGCCTGCTGCTCCTCCCTCCTCTTCTCCCATTCTCTCCCAGCTTTGCCCCTCTTCTGTCTCAGAGCCATGACCTTCTGCAAACCACTGTTGTCAATCTATACTGTCTTCCTCTTCTCTGGGAGGTGCAGGGGTGGGGTTTCCACCATTCCTCCTCAGTCCAGTCCTTGACAGCTGTAGAACAGAGTGTGAGAGATGGGGGGCACCAAATTTTAGCATTGCACATGGTGCCACTGAAATTTGAGAGCCAATCAGAATTCTATAGAAAGCCTACAAGTAGGACATGAGTGCAACAGTGCTCTCTCCATGTGTGATTCCCAGCAACTGGTATTCAGAGACAAACCTCACTATACAGTGGTACCTTAGGTTAAGAACTTAATTCGTTCCGGAGGTCCGTTCTTAACCTGAAACTGTTCTTAACCTGAAGCACCACTTTAGCTTAATGGGGCCTCCTGCTGCTGCCGCGCCACCGGAGCCTGATTTCTGTTCTTATCCTGAAGCAAAGTTCTTA